CATTGCAAATAGGTTAATTTTCCAAAATTCCACACTCGACACGATTGCGAACCAAATAAACTTGTCTATTTATCAGGGCACCGCATTCAAAAAATCTGTTTTTCAAGTCACTCCTCGTTCACGGGTGGTTTCCAACTGAAGAACTTGATCTCAATGTCCCGGTGACCGTTGAGCGAGGTCACGATCTCCGAGGTCACCTCCAGCGCGTTGTAGTCCTGGACAACGGGGGTGGCGATTACCTTTTGCGGCTTTGGAGGCGGCAAGGGCGGGGGCGGCGAGTGGCACAACCGCTCCACATCAAAAATCAGTCCGGCCGGATCACAAAAGTGGCACTGGCACAGCGCGGGGCCCCCTTCGGAGCCCAGACAGGGGCTCCTCGGCCTCTCAGGAGCCTTCGGCGGCGGCGGCGGCCGCCGCTGCCGCATTTTGTCCAGCTGGTCGTAGCACAAGGGCACGTACGGCTGCAGCGTGACGATGGGACCCTGCGAGGGCGGCGGACTGCCCTGCGGAGGGCCCGGTTCGCCCCCCGAAGGCTTGCGCTCCTTCTTTCTGCGTTTCCGCGGCTTGATGATGCGCGGCAGACTGTTCTCTGAGTGGCCGCTCTCGTCCGAGGCCACGGAGGCCGCGTCCGAAGCCGGCGGCGACTTGGGCGGCTCTTTTCTCTGCACGGGGTGGCCCTGCGAGCGTTGCGGGGGCGGCATGCCCTTGCGGTAGGGCGCTTGGAGGATGAGCGGAGCGCCCTGGGTGTGAATGGCGAGTCTCGAAAGAGGGCTCCGCGGCTGTTGGGGCTCCTTGGCGGGGCCTCTGGGGCCCATCGATATCAGGGGCCATCCGTTGTAGTGCTGCTTGGGGCCGTGCTTGCGGGCCGTGGCCGAGATGAGGCACGATCCGAGGTACCGCTCCACCGGCAGCCCATTCGGGCCCATCTTTTTCAGGTCGCTCTTCGTAAGTTCGCCGCGTTCACCAAACCATTGCTGTGTGCGCGACCGGTTCGGACGCCACCAAACACCAGACTGACTTGCTCGCGACGAGCAGAGGATTGCTTCGGCGGTGGGACGACGCGAGCGCCACCGCGCGGCCGCCTTACTGCCCCACTTACCTGCTTCTCGCAATTGAAACAATAACCGTCCTCCGTCTGCAAAAAATTGCCCGCAACGGGAAAAACTGCTACCGACTTGTCAAATGGCAATTCATTTCTCTTTGTTCAATTTCAGGTACGTATACACGAGTGGCAAACAGAGGCACCGGATTTAAACTGGCCCACGGTTTGAGTTTCCGATGGTAATAATTGGTGCTAATTTGCCGAAAGCTGTAGTTCAAGCCCTACGGGACGGCGACCTGAAACCTCACTTTAAATCTCTTGCAGTCAAATTGGAAATTTAGTTTGCGCATTATTTTCACAGGGGAAACCCTTCATAAGTTTACTTCCCAAATCAATTTCAATTCTCTTCCACATTAAATCAAAATTGCAAAATTTTCAAAATTATACAATTTTATTAAACAAATTTTTTTATGAACGGTTATATTATTACATTTGAGAATTTAAGATTATTTCCATTTTTTTCCAGCCCCTGACTTTCATATATTCAATTTGAAAGTGTACAAATAAATATGAATTATTTCACTTTGAGCTATATTTATAATGGAACATCACTAACTGTTACTTGTTAGTAAAGTTTTGATTTGTTAAGCATTCAGAAACCCTATAATTTCGTCTTCAATAAAAAAACCTGATTTACCACCTTAATTAAACAAGTTCTATTTTGGTCCCATCATTAATCTGGAAATTCAAAATCGGATGCTCTGGTCGTGGGTGACCTCGATTTGCGGCAGTGTGGGTCAATGGGAGACGCGTTGCTCGCGAGGAAGAGAAAGAGAGAGAAAGAGGAACAGGATCCCTTTATTATATTTTACTTTTGCTTCTCCCAAGTGGCACACGCACTCTGATCGCCCATCGTGCATGAATAATACACCGCGCCGAGAGAGCTCAAAGTCTGCGGCTCGGAGAAAGAATAATTGTGAATCATCATCTTTGGAGAGATCAGATATTGGAGATAACTGAAATTTATTGGAATGACCTTTCGCGGTCAAGCAGGAGGTTTATTGAAATGTGGCCGTGATATTTTTTTCTTTCAGACTATTGGTTTACTTTCTACAGTCATCAATAAATTTCTTCTAAGAAAATTAAAAAAAAATAATAATAATTATAAAAAACCTTGAAATCTTATTGTGGCGGATGATTCCATGTTTCCCTTCCAGATTTTTTTTTTATCTCAATTTAAAATTTTTGAGTAGCAATATGAAGACTTTAACAACCAACGCATAGGAATAAAAAGAGAATAAGCGAAAACAGGTTGCCTCTAACAAATTCAAAGTGCTAGTACTGAATCAAGAATACTTTTCCCAGTCTTTAGCCTTAATTAGACATGAGCGTCTAATATCACTGGGGCGCTTTAGAAAACGAGAAAACCGTTCGCCGACGCCAGCAATTATTATGCACCGCGTTGGACAAAAGTGGAATAGAAGAAAGTAAACCACGGCAGAGAAAAGTGTCGCATCGAGAGTAAGAAGATGATGATTTTCTTTATCGCGATCGGGGCCACGGAAGAGATGCAAAGTAAGTGGCGCACGAGAGAGGAGGGAGGGAGGGGGAGCCGAGGGCCACTTGTTGTCTTGTCGTAGGAGTTTCCATTTAGCCCACTTTGCTTTTGAGCAAGAGCTTTCTTCTTTCTACACCTCAAGACAAATTTCTATAAAGACTCGTTCAAAGACACGGACGGAATTGGATTATTGGAACGATTTTTCATATCTGTCGCGCGAGTTGACAAAACACTTAGGGGATTTGGTATAGGCCTTGTTTTGTGTGACGCGCACGTAAACAAACGTGATTGATCGAACAAAAAGAGAACCTAGCAAATCTATTTTATATAAACAGAAGCTTAGTTTTTTTTAACCTCCCATCATTAATCTTTGGTTCTAGATTTTTTTTAATGCTTGCCTCTCAGATAACCTAAAAGTAAAAGCAACGGGACTGTAAGCAAATATATTCAGACAAAAACTGTGCACTTTAATGCTTAATAAATTTAATTTTTTGCTTCGACTATTCGCCAGGGTCATAATCCTTATCAAAATTCAACGGCATCGTTTTACTGCACAACAATCGCAACAAATGCATTTATGTTTTTGCCGTTTTCTGCGTTATCGCGTATTTACAAGCATTTCACGGCCACGCGCACGCAAAGCAAACTGCGAATAGCATATTTGCTTTTCCATGAAATTATCGTGGAGGCCAGTTTTTATCTCTCTACTCCTTTTGCCATTTATTCTGTTTATTTGTTCTGCCGTACAAATTCAGTCAAGGCGAACATAGCACGCGCGAAACGATTAGTCAGCGGTCCAATCAAAGGATTTTCATAATTTCCTAAATTAGGTGCAATTAATGCACGCCGCGGAACAATTAAAGCTATATTCGTTTCTTATACTTTCTACGGCACGCGAAATTCGAAAGGGCCGCTCACGTCGGTTCTTTGCACCTAAATTTTTTAGGGTTGGACGCGCACGTCCGAGAGTCCGTTGCAAGGGGAGCACCCGTTTTGATTAATTTTATTTGCTTGCCTGACCGGCCGGCAACAATAAATAATAAAATGGAAAAGCTCGCCAAGGCCAAATTCTATCACGCTTTGTTTTGTTTGCGTCGCCGTAAATTTGTGCAAACGCCGGTGTGCATATCAATGACCACTTGCAATACTTTATGCCGTTTGCGAAAAACTCCTCTTCCTGGAATCGCAGTTTGGCAGATTTTTTTCCTGCAGTTTCCTCCATCAGAAGTCAAGAAACCTCAATCATGACCGCGGAATTTCTATGAAGAAGCCGCCTCGATTCTCCGGTCAACCGAGCCAGTTTTTCACAGAAACTTTCGGCAGCACTCGGAATAGAAATTTTTCAGATTCTCCGGTGTATGAGCGCACCCGAGCTAATTTTTTGGCCAAACATAAAATGATCGTGTCCGTCCGGCTGGGTGACTTTGAGGCGTCCATCTCGCAAGCCACTCACGTCCAAGGCCGCGTTTCAAACAATGCCTGCGCCCATTAAAATGAAAATAAACGCGCTCGCCAAAAGAAGAACGGCTCGCGAAATGTAGTGTAAAATAATAACACAACCACAATAATAATAATAACGTCTCTTTCTTGCAAACAACGCGAAACTCGCGATTGGGCGATCAACACAATGACGAATTAAAATAAGAATGCGTTCAAACGTCTCTGCGGCGGCGTCCCTTTGATAATATCATTCAAGGAAATCGTTGATTGATTGTTTAGCACTTTTCAATGCATTATTTAACAGCCAATAAAAAATAAAACCAACTTTTCAGCTTTAAGTATACAAGAGACGTTTAAAATTTAAATTTCATGGTTTCCGAATGTCACCCTTTTACAGACAATAAATGATTATTCAAAATTTATGTGCGTGCGTGTTTGTAGATATTCCATTTTGAATTTAGTGATTTGTTTGCGGTCGCCAGGCAGTCTGGTTATGCTGCGGGCACGCAACGTAAAAGAAATTCCCATCTTCCACACGCACATCGCTTTTCAAACAATGAGGCAATGGAAACTAAAAAAACGCGCGCTTTGAAATAGATTTTCCAACTCAACACGCCATCAGGTTCCCCAGCCTTCGAACGATAATTTGCGTTTCCGGAGTTGCATTTTTTTCATATAGTTTAAACAGACTGTGATCATTTCAGATAATAATCGAGCCAACAATGGAGCTCTCTTCCTCCTTTTCAATGCTGGAAGGAGACTACTTTCTACTTCTTGCTCATTTCTTTGCCAACGAGCTTGGCTCCGCCACCTGTGGCACGAACCGATAACTAACACGGGCGATTTAATAATTTGCGTATTGGTTTTGTGCAATTGCGCAACTATTCATGAACAAAAGCTGATTGACGCACGAATGACGGATTGGGAAATTAGTATAGAGAACAATGGTGCTCATCCTACCTTGCAAGTTGTCCATCATGTAGGTGAGCAGCTTGTGGGTGCCGTTGGGCTCCATGTAGAGAGACATGATCTCCTTGGTCAATGGGTTCCCCTTCAGACCAAGCACCTGAAGTTTGAACAGTTTGCCCAGTTCGTAGGGCAGAACACGGAGGAAGTTATTGTTTAGCAGCAACTCCCTGAAAAACATAATCATTAGTAATTTACATTATAAATATTTCAATTATCAATAATAATAATAGTTACTTCTAAATAAAAAGAGCATTGTTTACAACATACTTGAGATTAGATTTTTCTCTCACAATGAGAAAGGCACTACACAAAATACATAGATATTATTCAATGGAGAATAAAAAATACATAATATATAATGTTTTTTAAATTGAAAAAAAGCAGTTCCTTGATGGGTTTTGTGATTCTTGATTTTTTTGTAGGAAAAACAATACCCTGCCCTATTTTCCTACATACCAATATTTTACTCCCAAAATCGATTGTGGAACTGCTAATTTTCAATCCCATCAACTGCCATCAACATGAATAAATAATTATTCAAAATAAAAATAACCATTAAATTCAGTAAATATTTGAAAAAAAAAATTAAGATGCATATCATAATAAATTGAAGTTATTATTTTAAATATTTAGCTCATTTTATAACACAAATAAAAAAGTATCTTCAAAAGATGGATTATAATAATTATAAAAGTTCAGCTGAAAGAATTTAGATGACATTTTTCTAAATTGAGTCTGTGTCGGCTTGCACACTGTTTCTTTGCAATGTTACGACTTCACAGCCCAAAACTAACAAACTTGGCTTACAGCATGTGAATGACACGTCCTTGCCAATCACCGTTTCAAAGTCAGAATGCAAAAGGTTTTGCCAAGAAATCAGGATTAGGCGTAAAATCTAAATTTACTTGAGATGTTGAAACTTGGCATAATTTTCAAGAATTTGGAGAAAATTAGCCTTCATGTTGACCCTGGTTAGTGGCACAACCAAAATATAGAAACACTTAAAAAAAGGTGCCAAAACAAACCTAGTCACATTTTACAACAAAAAGGCAAAGATGCGAACCTGAGAAGGATGAGGTCGCCAAGCTCAGCTGGCAGACTGCGAAGTTTATTGCTGGAGAGGTCGAGATGTCTCAGGTTGACCAAGTTGCATATTTCGCCGGGTATGCGCGTCAGGCTGTTGTCATTCAGGTACAACGTTGTCAAATGCGAGAGTTCCCACAGCTGCGGACTCAGATTGCGAATAGTCCCTGCAACGACAAACCAATTATTATATTTTTATTTTTACAAAATCGCGTCTTCTTATCAAAGAATCTAAAATCGCCGTTCGCACGTGCAGATAAAATTTTGGCGGCGATTTCCATTGCGTGCCTTATCTGCGCGTCTCTACACATGTAAAACAAAGCGGCCCATTTATCACCACGAGGAACACTTTGTAGCTAATTTGTTTCAACGGGCGTGCTTTTCTGCATCAACAGACCAAACTTAACTGTGTTTTGAAATTTTCCTGCTGGCTAATTTATTCTCCCCACTCAAAACGCGTGTTTGTTGGCAAACGATTTCAATTGCTTATTTTGTACCAACGATTGGTCGATGAAGCCAAAGAAAGGAACTGATGTCACAATTATGTTGTAGTGGCTTTTGCATGACAGCAGCGGTAAAAATGCGCGGATAAAAATGAACCCTCGAAACAATTTTCCAAAAACAGAAAATTTAAAAGTGCAGTTTAAAAACTAAAATTATTCATTCCAGCTTGGATTATTTCACTTTCTGTGGTTTAAATGATAATGTTGATGATGTTAAATAATTATATTAAGTTTTAATATCAGTCAAATTGTTTGCTTGTGGCCGATGACAAATGCACAAAATACTAATTTCGTAGGGTAAAGGTAAATTAATTTTAACTTCAAAATACCTGTTATCTCCAACTCTGGCCAATAAGACTTCTTGCCAGAGGCGACCTCATCGGGTGGCATGTAGGTATGGGTACGCCGGTGATTATTAGTCTGCTCGTATCGTGTCTCCTTCCGCGACATGCTATAACCTGCGAAGATCCCACGTCATTAGCAAAATTGAAACAATTAAAAGATCAATTGATCATGAGTCTAACGTAATCAAAGAACAAAACGCAAGGTTCCGACTCCAGCTTCGCAAAGAAAAATATTGTTTTCTACTTTATCACAGAGGTGGAAAAGTCACACAGCAACGAGGACAAATTATTTCAGGGCAATCCAGTTTTCTTGCATAGCTGATCAAGAAACTGGACTTACTCGTTCCGAATTGAAACAAGTTCAAAAACACAATAATTTTGTTTATCTTTTCCTATTAACTTCTGCTTTCTTCTGATTATTTGAGTTGTTCCAGCTTTCTCGAGAATGGGCCAACAACAGCGGATTTATTATCTTTCAAAAAACCGAATTCAGCATAAATTCATGGTCAAAGTTCAATTTCGGCGGACCGATCGGAGAAATCGGCCCCCATGACTCGACAAAAATTGCTTTTCTCTCCGCTAATTGCCCAACTCGCGACTCGGTCGGCGCGCGGAAAAAACGGGCGACAAGAAAAACTTTCTTTTCATTTCGCGAATACATAAACATACATATCTCTCTCATCTCTCTCGCCAGGGTCGGACATAAGATTTTGCTATAAAGAGAATAAGTAGACAAAGAAAGTGCCCTTCCGCACTGTTATAAGTCCCGGCCACCCTCTCGAGGGTCTCACAAAGCCCCTAGAGACCTGGGGCCCCGATCGGTGACGACCAATCGGAGAAAACAACACAATCGGACCTTGGCAGCTGACGCCAAGGCCCCAGTTCAGGGGTCCCTGACGGGGCCCCTGGGTCCTTCAAGCGCCCTCAAAGATTCTCACCTTCATCTACTTCCGAAAGTGTGGTAATCCGAATTATCTTGGGGTTGAGAAAAGCTTGCAACAAGCTTTCTCTGACGTAAATAAACACAACACGAACAACTGAACTCGTTCAGCAATGGCTCCGCGATGCTCTCATCCGATTGGCCAATGGAAGTTTCTCGCAGTCGTCACGTAAACTTGCAGTGAGGCCGCACAGTGGTGCTCTCTGTGCGCTGCCCTCATTGGCTTTGAAGTCACGTGACCTGATTTAGCCAATCGTACGGCTGCAATTTGCAATGTTTTGCTTGCGGACCTCTGTCGGTCAAAAATGGCAGCACCCACTGGTAAGAAAAATCACATTAGGTGTATTTTCCGGTAAAATTTCTGCATTTTGGCTTGAAATAAATTAGACTGCGTGTGATAATTCAATCTTGATTATTTTATCTACAGGTTTACTTACGAGAACTGTGGCTGGTGCCTTGCTGGGACGGTCACTGATTAATTCTTTGCTTCGGCCAACATGTGTCGAACCATGCCGGGGGATGGCTGCAAGGAAGGGCATCAGAAAGGAAAAGGCAAGGAAGAGGACAAAAGTTGAAATCCAGAAGGTGGTGTTTGATCCGCTCAGCCAAAGATCAAAGAAGTGAGTGATGCCATTAAAGTGCAACATTTGGAGTTTTTAATAATTTTGCTCTCATCAGGAACCAAGTGGCGTTTAAACCTAAAATGGATGATGATCTTTGGCGCCCTGTACCCATGGATGATGTGTATCCATTCAAGTATTTTCAGCAGCCAAAGTACTCTTTTGAAGAAGCTGTCCAGTGCCATCGAGAGACACATGATCCAACCATGTACAATAGACCGGACGCTCTGCTCAAATTGGTAGTGGAACTTGATTTGCACGGCGAGAGGAAGGTTTGTAATTTGTATAAATAAAATCGTTACCAAGTGTTCTATTATCAAAAATTTTATTTTTCAGACTAAGTTTTTGGAAAAACTTTTTGGCCTGGTCGACACTCCTCATCCCTTTGATCAACAAATCAAGAGAACAATTGTCGTATTTACTAAGAATGGTGATGACAAAAACAAGGCCTTGGCTGCTGGTGCATCAGTGGCCGGCGGCTCCGAGTTAATCAAGGGCATCCAATCCGGTGACGTCACCCTAAGAAACGTCGATTTTGTCATATGCACACCAGATATATTATCAGAATTGGTGCCTTTGCGAGGAGTTTTCAAAAGAGCTTATCCGTCTACCAAGCAAGGTTCAAGAAATTTTTTCCATATAAATACATGGCTCTTTAATAATTGGTTGATTTATAGGATCAGTAACTCAAAACACAACAGATGCAGTTCGTCGATTTTTGAATGGCATTGAGTATATAGTTGAGAAGGATGACCGTGAGCCTGAATTTGGTTGGTTTGAGTGCAATATTGGCACGGTAGGTTACCGTTCATTATTCTGGTCTCCAAGTTTTACATTTTATTATAAATTATTATAGCTGAACATGCCTACCGAAAATTTGAAAGAGAATATGATGGCAATTGCTAAGGACCTCATTTCAAAGGCACCACCTAAAAAACAAGAACCCATATTGTGGCGCCTCTTCCTGTCAAGTCCCCCTGGATTTGAAAAATTTAAGCTGGATCTTTTCCCCCTGTTTGGAATACAAGAATACTCTATAAGGAAGAGGAGAAAGCCAGACACGAAAGAGGACAAACCTAAAGTCACTATGCCAAAAGAGTCTGAGGATGACGCAGAAAAGGTGGCCGTGAGCCAGTAAGGTGTTTTGTGGTGTTGAATCTAGTTGAACCAATAATAAAACTTTATAGTGTTATATGTCAACAGAAAATATAATTTTATTGTTTGCATATTTGGACCAAAAGTTGCTGCCAAATATTTGCATTAAACGTCAGTTTTACACTGTAAAAATCTCTACATTCAACATAGAACGTTAAAGGATGAATTTTCAGCTCGTATTTTGGCAATTTGTGCAGCTAAACGTAGAGAAAATACACATCCATTAGAGGGAGAAACTAATAATCAACTCATAGAGTTACTTTTTTATCCACATTTCATGCTTGAAACGAGAATTTCAATTACATAGAAACAGGGGTGCAGCACAAAGTACCCCTATTATACACTTCCATCTCATTTAAGCGTCCGTTTCAACCAATTTGGTTGGAAAATCTGCAGCTAGGGGCCACCGTGAAACACCCATAGCAATAATTTTACAGAAGCACATTTGTGCTGTATAAGATTGGTTTCAACGTCATAATTACGACAAAGGGTTCCAGAGCTAAATGGGGCATACTAACAAAATGCAATTTCTGGCTTTCTATAAAAATCATTCAAGCCTTGAGGCAGTTTGCTCATGACTAATAAATTCTAAAAAAATGGAAAAAAAATAACATCGAAAAATGAACTTCGCCAGCTGGGATAAGATTGATGCTCTGGCAACCCTGCACACTTATAAACTCCTAGGGTTTAGGGAACATTGTGAGGATGAGTGTGCAGATCTTCTGCGGGTTTGTCTCTTCGGGGAGCATGCTCATGGCAGCTTGCACCTGCTCTGCAGGAAACAACGAAGAGAGGTGGTAGTTGATTCTGCTGCGTGCCTCTGCGTCGACATGAGGAGGTGCCCACTGAGGAGGCACCATCAAGTTTGGCTCCGAGCTGGCGCCAACATGGTTCAACTGAATATGGCGCTGCTGTCTAGGTGCCGGTGGCCACCGAGGGGGCAGTGGTTCGGGTGCAGATGCGATTCGGGTGACACTCTGGTGCATAGCCTCTGCAGCTCCAAACTGATGTGATGTTTCCCACATGGGCATTCTGTACTCATTTGCACTCGTAGAGCACCGACCAATGGGTCTGTGTTCAGCAGGCCCACCATAGTTCCTATTGATATAATTAAAAAATTAGTAAAAATTACTCCCAATTTTTTTTTTTCAAGTTTACCCTTGTTGAAGGTGCAATAGTCTAGGGTCGTAATTGGGGTTAAGCGTGAGCTGTCGCTGCAATTTTCGGTGCAGGTTGGTCGGTTCAGTCTGTTCGTGCTGTGGGTTGGCTGGTGGATCGGATAGTTGCTTGCCGAGGGGCATTTGGCCACCCTGGGGTACCATCATGTGCCAATCTTGGTTCATATGACCAACAGGAGCCCACCTTTGTTGCTGCTGCTGTTGAGGAGCAACAAAGGAAGCATGGGGAGGTGGCACTCTAAATCCATAAGCTACATTTTCGACACTCTTGCTTTTCGAAACTCCTCTTCGCTCTGTGCTTGAAGAGTTGGGAACAGAGGACCTTGTCCTTGACAGCGGGGTTTTACGAGGTTGCTCACTTGGAGGGAGACTCAGTGATTTGCTACTTTTCAACTGGTCACCTAAAACAAAATAACAAAATTTTAGTTCAACTCACAGATTAGCTGAAGATTTTTAAACAATCTCTACATTAATCAATGAATGTGTCTTACCTGGGCTAGCATCTCTACTGGCACGGGCCTGGAGCTGCCTTTGGGCGTGCTCCGCCAGTCTTTCAGACACAGACTTTAGGGGCAGAGGACCCCTCTCTGGATGAGCGTATTTACACTTGTTTCCATAAGTGCATTTTTTGCCATACGGACACGGTCTAGGGGGATCAGCCTTTACGGAGGTAACACGAAGGAACTTGTCAAGAGTCGGTCCTGATCGGCCCAAAGGATCATCAGGTGGCATAAATCTACAAAAAAAAAATTATCAATAAAGGACAAAGTAGTTTTGATTTCAAGTACATACTTGTCATTGACAAAAGAGTACATTAGAATTCGCTCTTCAACGACTTTTCGGAACTCAGGGCACTGGCTGAGAAGGTCTCGGTAGTTGTCGTTTGAAACGACAACGCCGTCTGTCTCCAGGGCCAGTTTAAGGATGTAGCGATCATCATAGCAGGCAACTCTTTTGCCGCCAACCAACCGTGAAGGCGTGAAGACCAAAATTCGTTCGCGCTCGAGTTCATTGAGGATTTCTTGGTCTTTAATGGGTCGTTCAGGTCGAGATGCCTCCTTGCGCCAACGAGGAACAAATACTGTGATGTCTTTATGGCCGCGCGCTTGAAACCACTCGACGCAGAGTTTAATTCCTCTGCAGCTAAACATTTCTTTGTTTCCATGGCTGAAACAAAAAAATGCTTTTTAGTAAACATACAATAAGGTTTTGTTTGAATTTACCTCATGGCCAAATTGCTTCCATCTATGACTATGTGCCTCAGCTGGTTTGCTGAATGGGCATCTTCACTATCACCGTCGTCTATGTCGTCAACCACCTCGGCACCCAAAAAAGGAGCAGTTTCAGAAGTAGGAGAAAAATCTGCAAAATTTAAAGGATATTCATGCAAAATATGCTCGAATCTCAATCAACAAATTTACTAACCTGAGCAACTTCTGGCCGCGCCAAGTTTGATGAGTTCTGCCAGGAGCTCGTTCTGGCTCGGGTTTGTTCCAATTTTCGCCAACACCACTTGCACCTGTCGCTCCGTGTAGCCCAGTTTGAGACCGAATTCCACTTTTTGAGTGTAACCCGCAGGCGGCGCCGACACGTACTCGGCAAATTCAGCGCCAAGGGTATCGGAAACGGTGCGACTCACGTCGTCGTGACCGCGAGGTCCTGCATTCGGTGCTGACTCGCAGTCCGAGTCGTAACTGGAGTCCTCTTCGGTGCCACCTGCCTCGGCGCACGACGCGTCCACATAACGCTGAAAGCACAATAAGAAATATTCATTAAGTAAATTTTAAGTTGCATTGTAAAATAATTTGTGTTAAATCATTAAATGGAAATAAACGGATTGAGCGAAATGATTCACGCCTTAATAAAAAATGGATAACTTTATTACCCTACGCGTAAAAAAGGTGCTTTTTTAATTCTATGACTCATTCAAGCTTTAATTAAGTTCTCGTTCTGTTGGCACTGCTTTTTGCTTGACTGTTTTAAAACAGAGTCAGCTCGGGCAAAAAAATACAAAATAAATTGCGTCTCTTGTGCGACCTTTTTGCATAGCTGCTTTAAATGTCTGGCCAATGACGCACTGGAAGCGTGATATGATATGTATTATGTTTATCGCCCCGATTCTTTTACGTCAAGCAAGAAAGGAAAATATAATCATCGCGCAATCCTATGATTCTGATTTTTATTTAATTAAGTTAAAAATAAAATTTATATATTTATCTTCTAATTATTCGTGACTATTAATTCAAAATAAATTTATTTTTAAAGTCTTCCTATCTTTCCAGTGAGGTTAAATGTCAAAGTTTAAACTTAAAATGAATTAAAAAATTTGCTGGATGGTGTTACAATTTAATTGCAGGTTCATTAAGCTCGCGTGTTTAATCAGCAATGAAGCGGATACGCAAAAAGAGTTCATTGGATCCGAGCGCTGGAAACAAGATCGATCATCGCCAACTGACTGACTGAATCAAATTCTCAGCCAACAGCGCATCCTGTTCGGCGATAACAATAACGCGAAGGGAAAGAGCAGAAGCGAGCCGTCACGACCGCTCAAATCTTGAAGCCACAAATTCGGATGTGGATGTTAAGATAAATATAAATAAAAGTTTCTTCAACTGCGCCAGAGATTTTCAATTCATAAATTTCTAAATTTTATAATTAACTAATATTTCACTGATTTCACTTAGGAAGAAGGAAGAAAATTTAAAGCAATATAAATAAATATCTTTATTTCAAAGCAGGCTCTTCTTGTAAGTATGAAATGTAAAAGTCTCAAGGTGAGCGAAAACTTTTGATGGCCAAACTAACTTTCACTCAAGCAAGGATGAAATTCAAAATAATTTTCCGTCGGTCATCCAATCAAAGATCGTTCAAGTGTCAGCGAGAGTTCCCTTTAAAAATTTCTCCACGCGCGTTCGGAAAATCCGCACCACCGTCACAATCAGACAATGGAAAAACGTCAGACTTTCTTTCACTGGGTACTAAAGATTAGTACCACGTAATAGCGCCGCGCGCTCATATGCTCATAATAGCAAAAGAGCTTCGCCAGCAGAGAAAAGAAAGTGCTGAGCAGAGAGAGAGACGAGCAGGATCTCCGCGTTTCCACAACGTAACATTTTTCAAACTCTCGCAGCCTACATTCACTGCAAGCGAGAGCCGCGCACGAAATTTGCTTACGACTGCGTGCGTAAATATATACGGGAGTGTACACATGGAACGGAAAGTTCCCAATTGCGATTAGTGCACCTGTTATTTTCCTTCACACTCGGCGCTTTGTTTTTCTTTGAAACTGCGCAGCGGTTCTCGTCGCTCCTACGCGAGCCGCTTGAAAAATTGGCAGACGAGAGGAATGAAAAAAAATTCTTTGAGGATGAGAAGGCGCAAAAAAACGACCTTTGCTCAGGGTTCGCCGAGCGGCGACCTTTGCAAACAGGTTGCCAGGTATTTCCAAACGAATCGATTTACAAACAAACCAAAAGAATTAAGGAAAGAAAAATCTGACAGGGCGATAGAATGGAAAAATTTGTCTTTGCAAGTTAAAATTGAATACTTGATTCATTTGGATAAAATTTTAAGTTATTAAAAATTAAAAGAAATGAAATAATCGATATTTTCAAGTGTTACTTCAAAAACTGCTAGTTTTCAACAATTTTTAGATTAAATATGCAAACAAGAAAATAAAAATGATGAAAAATCATAGATTTTCTAAAAGCAAGGGTACAATTTCAATAATTGACGTGGAATTACATAAAAAAAATTATAATCAGACTTCCAATTCATAAAGTACATATTTGATTTTCGCTTCCAAGTAATTCTACTGTTAGATATTTTTTTCCAATAATTAATTCAATTAAATTAATTGACAAAAAAATAAAGTGTATGTCAAGTTCTATTAACACTGCGGTGAATCATGATTTTAAAAAAATTTTCGCTGCGGCTATTAAGTGATGTGATAATTTCTATCTTCATTTTCCTTTCCACTCCTAATACAGAATCAGATGAAAAAAGTTATAATCCAGGAGATGAAATATTGTACCGCAATTTGTACTGAATGAAATTTCCGGCTGATCCACTAATACACATTTATGCGACGGAGAAATGGAAGGTGCCTCGCTCGAAAACTGGTTTTCGCTCTTTCTCCAATTGCGTTTTTATGAGACAGGCGGCTTGAATGAAACGGATCGAGCCAGCAGCTCCCACGCCATCAATGAAATTCGAAAAAAATAAATCTTTTTTCCAATCCGTCAGGGGGCTTGCGTAATTAGCGGCGGGAGACGTGAAAAACATAAGTCACCTCCGCATACAAGAGGCGAATGGAATCGAGAAGAAGATCCGTGTACAGTGGAAGGCAAGCGGAGGAAAAGGTCCGTCCGTGCGTCCGCCCCCACCTGACACGCGACCCACCGAGTAGCACCGAGTGACGTCACGCGAACGCCGGTTTGTTTTCTCCACGTTGATATCACTGTCACGCCAAAGCAGAACGAAAAACAAACGAACACGTGACAAAGCACTTGTGCTCGTTGTTTGATTGCAAATTGGAACTTTACCAATGAACCGGATTTCGATCAAATTTAATTAATTTATCCGGAAATGACACAAAGGCACTTCTTGAAATTGGCTGATAAAACTGATTCACTCCAAAAGGCTGATAATTATGTCCTAATCAAACGTCAGACTGGTCTTTCCCCGCCGGTAATATCTTTTTTCTATTTTGTCCTTGATGAAATCATCATTGATTGTTTTAGGACCGGTCTGAAAAAATTCCCCATTGGATTGTTGGTGGGATTTGGCACCTTATGGCGCAGTTGATAAATAATGAAGGAGGCACACAAAAGAGGAATAAAAAACCGAGATGTTTGTTGTGAGCAAGCTGCAGTGTTACATCGTCTTTCATTTCCGTACGGAGTAGGAGAGAAAGATGTATAAAAGAAGGGATCAATACAGACAAAAAATAGCTTTGTTCAAACAAAAACTCTTCAAATAAATACTAAGTTGTACTAAGTATGAGGAAAAATTTGTAAATTTCAATCAAAAATCGTATTTATTATCTAATATTATATTTTTCCAACTATTATTGTAAGAATAAATCAAGCAATACTAAAAATTCCATTTTTCTTCTTAAAATTTCAAAATATGCTTGTAAACTGATTTTATTTTATAAATCATTTTTTTTTTTAATTTCTAATCTTCTCCATATTTACTAGACTAACACAATTTTCTTTGTTGACTCGCCCACGGCCAACACAATTCACTGACAGTCAACTAATTGTCAATTAAATCTTTTACCTTGTCGTTGAGAATCATTTGAGCGGAATCAGTCTTTTCGTCTGCAAAGGTAATCCAGCATTGGGGCCGACTAATCCGTTAGCCGTGTCAGCCGAAGATGTGCAAATCTTGTGTACGAAAAAAAACTAGTGTGTCTTTTCGCGAGCACGCAGCGCGCCCGACTGAATGCTCTTCGCACTGGCCACCGGGAGAAAGAGGAGGCGGAGGAGAGGGGGAGATCCGGGAAGGGGGCGCCTGCTGGCCGGTGCGGCCGCTGACCTGATTCCCCCGTGACTGGCGCAGCTTCCGGGTCTGAAGGTCTCGTTAGGGGCCCAGACGCACCAAACGACACCTTTTCTCCACACTCCGGACACATCCTCCTTTTCCCGGCGGCTACCTAAGTCGCAACGAGTGCACCAACGCGGACAAATTTCTTTTTTATGGCATTGAACTTGCTCCGGCAGTAATGACCAAGAAGTGCTGCTTTTTTTCTACAGTAACGCAGTTTATAATTTATTTATATGCTTGTCAACGTTTTAATTTTATTCTGAACCTTGTAGCAATAAATAAATTGAACTCGATATTGGTTTTCCCCTAGATTAATTTAAATGCGTTCAATTTTCAATGAGTTTCATTTATCATTTTAATAAAATAAAAAAATTAAGTCGTTCTTTTGATTTTGAAACCACAGTAGTGTTTATTTAGATATATGGAGAAAAGGAAAAGAAATGATAAAATGAAAATTTTAATTTTGTGGTAGAATTTCACGATCGAGGGCTGATTCATGGTGATTTGAATTTCAACTCTTGTTTTAATTTTTTTTTTAAGAAGAATAAACCGAATAAACAATAAATATTATTAATAATAATTGAAAACAACAATGATTATAATATCTTTTAAGTTTCTATCGCTTTATATTTTAAAAAATTTTAGTTTCATATTTCATTGACTGAAATTTTTAAGGTCTTATTGCTGTAAGTTCTTTTTTAGTTAGGATAAAAATTTTTCGTAAAAGTCATAAGATTTTATCGCAAAATCAAATATTTGCGCCGACGTCAATTTGCTGCACTCGTGCGCGCGAGTGTGCATTTATTTTATTTTGTGACGCAAGAGCTGCAGATCCTGGAGTGTTGGCGGCCGAGCGAGCGCGGGCCTCGAACCCGGTCCTTGCGACACCTGCCTGCCTGCCTCTTTCTCTCTTTCAGCATTCGCCTCTTTGCATCGTTTGCATTCCTTTTCTTATCTCGCCTCGATTTATTTTTCACTCGTTCGCGTAACTCTGCATGTTCGAACTCATAGTACTTGGCAACCGGATTCGAAAGCAAAGCGAGAGACGCAAAAAGGAAGAAAGTGACGAGTGCATGAACGTAAATCCTTGAAATGAACGTTGCAGAAAATTGTTAATTTTAATTACAATGGCCAAATATAAAATGGTTGAAATTACAGTGATAATTAATTAAAATTGCAGAGACTTTCTATTATTGCCTTTCTAGTTAATTAATCAAAATAAATATGAAAACATTATCAGCAAGTTTATTCAAATACCGTTTTTTAGAGTGGAAAATATCAAAGATTTGGAAGAAGTTTGCACAAAACTGAACTTATTCCTTTTGACCGCTGAAAAGACCAGCACAATTATTGAGGTAGGTTTCCTTGTTCAAACCTGACTCGATATTGCCTGTATTTTTATATATGCTCAGTCAATTCATTAACAGACACTGAGGCGCAGGCAATATTACCAAACATGCAGAAAACAGAATGTTGTTAAAAATCTTACTTAAGAATTAAAGCTATTTAAACGCGTTGGCTTGCAAAGCATTGTTTCACGGTTTCATTCAAATTAGAGGCATAAAATATAATTTTATTTGAAGAAAAATTTATTTTATGTTTCTGGAATAAACGAATTGAAACAAATAAAATTTGACTTCCAGTAAGATTTTTGAAGGCCTTGCATCCCTAAGTTTTAATTTTAAAAGAATATTTTTCCCCGGTTTTCCTAAAAACACTGCTTGGGCAAAAAAAATTAATATAACACTCCTTGTTGAAAAAAAATTTAGCACCTGGCAGTGCGGTTAAGTGTTAAATATTTTTGCATAGCATTCACTTGTCTCGTCGCAACAGCAGTGAAGAATTTCAGATTTTATTACCATCGCGCCGCCGAATATTTACTTTTGTTAATGAATCTCGACTTGCGTGTATGAAGAGGAGACTTGCAAGGTTATTGCCAAACATTTAAAACGTAGAAACCTGTTGAAACTTAAAAATTACCCAAACTCATTGTCCGTTCGATTACAGACGGGGAAGCCCATATAAAATAATAATTTTTTCCGTGGGTGAGACTGAGCATTAGAATATTTTTACTTCTTTCCTACGTCACGAAAAAACCAGGAGGAAAATGTCGATGTTGGTCGCTTTCTTGCTTAATTACGTGCGATTTGCGTGCAACAACGGTTTCCATCGAAAAAGAGAGAGATCGAGTGCAGCAGCCTCAGTCGGAGCGCCTTCCTGTGGAGCAGGATGCGCTGCTGGCTTGGCGCTTCTCCTCTCTCTCACTTTGTTGAATTCGTTGCCCTCACTTATACGTCCGTCTTCTCTCTAATTCTACCTGAGCAGCTGCTCGTCTTGCAGGAGGAAAGAGTCGTGACGACGCCAAATCGTGGCCGGATTTGCGCCTCGGAGCGAATCAACTCCCCCGCAGATTTAGGACCCGGCCGATTTCATTCGCCTCGTTGAAGCGAAATTTGCGACCATTATTCTGCGCCGTTGGAGGTTCGATCATTTCAATGGGTTTAATTATGTTTTAAGGTTTTAAATTACAAGCATAATTTAATTTCTTCCTCCATTCACATCTCTTTTCAAAAAATGCTAAATTGTACTGTTGTTAAAATGTATTTCACAATCTTTTTTTTTTAATTTCTATTTTTAAATTCAATTTTTGATCAGTTCCTTCCCAATTGCGTACGTTTGCATAATAAATTATTTCCGTCATATTACTTGCAAGTTCTCAGGATTTTACTTTAATTTTCTAAACAAAGCTTATAGCTAAAACTTGTTTTATTCATTTATAAAAAATCTGGGAGTTGCGTTAAGAAAAACCAAATTTATCGACAATACCAATTAGTGATCTTATTTATTTATTTTATTTTTTTATTAATTCAGGTCACTTTTTTCATTTTGATTGTTTCTTTAATGGTAGTGTGGATTGTTTTGTTTAAATAATTGTATGATTAATTTATATAATTATTGCAATTAATTCTAAATGTGAGAGCAACGAAACCAGAAGATTGCATTTTTTTCGTCAGTACGATTTTGTATTGACTGAGTGACCTGAAAAGAGCTCGGTCGCCCTGACGGATCCCAGCACCGAAGGTTGCTACGGAGGCCACAACTTTTCTTCGGCTCGTCTTCTTTCTCCGCTAACCCACATTCGCGCCTCCGCGCGCGATCCAAATTCTTTTGGTGCCAAATCCGCGTATTTTTTCGCCACTTTTCAATTGGCACGATTTTCCTGACGTAACGACGGGGCGCAAAGATTTTGATTCATTTTTTTTCGCTCGCCGGGCGTGGTGTGCACAATAGGGACCTTGAAAAAGACTTCCTCCTTTTCGGCGTCGTGCGTTCGAATTCGCGAACCGATCGTGCCCTTTTACAGCCACGGCGAGTTTCGCGAATTTCGATTCTTCTCTGAAACAAACCGCCTGTGACTGACTGGCGGTTTTTCGACGCGCGGATTAGAGTCGACACGCCTGCGGCGGCGGCGGTCCTCAGCTTTTCGATTGTGCTATCTCTCATATTGTGCTGCATCATTGCTCATTTTTCTTTTTCCTTGGGCTCACAAATGTAATTAATTTAAATTGCGGCAAAAAGTGCGAAAAACGTCGAGTCAGGTTGCAAATTATCGGCCGCTTCTTTGCGAATAATTTCGTCGCAACTCATACAGATTTATTTCAAAATAGTTACAATTTGTATTTATTTCAAGAAATAATAATTTCCATCTGAAATAAATTTAAATTGTTGTTTTCAATCGCAGATTTTCATAATTAATTTCATAAAAAATTGATTGAAAAAAAATTGTTTGAAAATTTTTTCATTTCATATTAATTAAATAAAATTTACTTTCCTAAAAATTAAAGTTTATTAAGTATAATTTTAATTTATAACTTTTTAAATAATAATAATCTGCTTTGTCTGATCTTATCAAGCATGATATTTAACTTTAGACATAAGTAGCCTGTTCAAGGCGTTAACTACTTGATAAAAAAAAAACCAAGACAATCGCTGTCGGTCAAAGTTGAATGCCGACCCTGAGACGAATGTACCTTCGCCTTACCTGAAAAGGTAAGCGCTCTTATCCTGCCAAGTATGACAATGCCGCCGACGCGAAAATTATATAATGATGGACGTCTCGGCCCGACACTCTGCTTCTCGGAAAGGCTAAAAATAGAAATACGTAGCCTTTGTGCGACCTGAGGAAGGGTCAAGTTACTTGGAAGGAAAACTGCAATTAAATTCAGTTTTGCGAATTTCAGCGTCGGGCAAAAAATAATAACCAGGGGTATTAATTTGCGGCCAGATGTCCGGGACGGAAAGAGTGACGTGAAAAATGAGCCGAATTATTTTGCAACACGTTTCGGCCGCGCCTTCCTCTCACTCGCGATTCTTTATTTCACTCGCCCATTCATACGTAACGAGCGAATGAAGAAAGAAAAATGCGCCAACCTTCGATGTGATGACCTCAGCAAGCAGCTCATTTATTTAACCTTCTCTCGAGATCGTTTCTCAAAATCGTAATAAAGCAAATAGCACGAGTTGCAAATTCGTTAATTTGCATACATGATATTAATTTATTAATCATAAATATAAATTAATAACTTAGGCAGCATAGTTATTTGATTTTTTTAAATTGGATGTTTGATTGAAAAATTTAATAGAAGGAATTATCAGAAATCATAAATTTTATACTTATAATTAAATAAATTTAAAAAAAATTATTTAAAGTTGAACAAATTTTAATTTAATTTGTTATCAAAACATTGCTTTTTCTATTTCGGTTATATAAATATATATATTTTTTTTAAATATTTCCTTAACATTATAATTACGATAACAATTATCAAGTGAAAACCTTTTTCCTTCCTGCTCTGTACGTGTAAAGTATTTTGTAAAAAAAAAAATCATTGCAGCCCAAACACGCCCATTGATGAACAGCCCTATGTCTCGAACACCCTTTTCATGGTCTCACCTGCAGACGGGCAACAAGGTCTGGGGCTTCAGAGGCGGCCGAAGTGGTGCACACGGTGAACCAGGCGACGTCGCTGTCCGAGAGCTGCTCCTCGGCTCGCAGATTGACCCCGAAGAGAGCGCGCACCCTCTCCAGGTTGAGGCGTGACAGGTGGCGCCGCCGAACTCTGACGAGGCGCCGTGGCGTCGCCGCCGCCGCGTCATCTTCGTCGCCGAGCGCATCCATCGCGCTCAGGTCGTACCTTCGCTTGATGTCCGAGAATTTCTGCGCTCTCTTCGCACCGACCGAGACCAAACTGCGACCTCAGCCACCATTTTCGGCCGTCGCTGCTGCCTCCTGGCGGAGAGAGCACCAAAAAACTCATGGTGCACTTCTGGGGGAAGACTTGCCTGTGGCGCCAAACTGGGAAACCTAGGGCAAAGTTTTAGAATTTTTAATTTTAAATAATATGATTACAATTCATAGATACATACTTGATTTTCGAGAAATCTAAATCAAAACCGGGAATGAAAATTTTTATTTGTAAATATTAGGAAAAATTAGCAGAAATCAAAAAATGATTAAAATTACATCTCAAAAACATTTTATCGAAGCATAATATATATTATAATGCTCAATGCTCATGGATTGTAAAATCATAACTTGAACAAAAAATTAAAATTCAAAAAAAGAAAATAACTAGATTTCCTACGTTATACAAGTAACTCATTTTCAAATTTTTAATATTTTTTACCTTCGTTCAAGCTGCCTTCAAGTGCCTTCAAGTAACCCTTTCATCTCGTCAGTGATATAATATCACTGATGAGAAGAAGGGGTTACTTTGAATATTCATTTTTTGTTATAATAATAAAAATAATTTTAATACAAACTGTTTAATTTTTGCACAGAAAAAGGATTTGAGTAATGGAATAATTTTTAGTTACGCTTACATACCAAAAATTAAACAAGTTAAAATTGCATTTAATTAGGCTTGAAAAATAAAATTTGGCAATAACTGGAGCAAATTATAATTAAAAATTTCTCTTGCAGTGATCACCATTAAATATTATCAGAGGAAAAAATTTAAGACAAATTAAATAAATTTATTATATTTCATAAAAATATTAAAAGCGTTTTTATCGCCCACAAAGTTATTGTTGCATTATTTTTTCTTACATATCATCATAATGAATGGGATGCGCATCTTGCAAAGATTAATGTGCTTTTCATTTGAGCGCCAATCGTCTCGGCTCTCTTGTTAAGAAGTAAGTGTCTGGATGAGTGTTAAATCTTTTAGTGCTGCAGAGGAAGATTTTAATATATGTTTGAATCTTTTGAGTATCGCCTTGACCTGCTAGCGTGGAAGACGACAAAATTTGGCCCTTGGTCAGGCAGTGGCTGCTCACTTAAAAAAAGCCTAGATATGTTAAATTATAATATTACATGACTAAAAATTAAAATACTAAATGAAGTGGTTTGAAGAAAATTTAACATAAGATAATAAAAACTCTGAAATTAATTAATGACATATATTTCGCTTTAATAAAGTTTTTTAAGCAAATATTTAGGTTTGGTCTTGGAAAATAATGCGTATGTTTATTTTTAGTATTTTTGGATTTTTTAGACTTATTGCAGCTACATATATTTTTTATTAAATATAATTTAACCCCAATTGCCTTTATCTTATTGCATCTCTCATGAATGGATGCTATTTTTGTGTTTTTGCTCGTGCTTTTCACTATTCGGGCATGTGGCCAAGAAAACGAGAGAGAATTCAGGCTGCGCGCTCAATCTCTCGCTCATAATAAAAAACGAGCCCTCTCCCCGCCGTGACGTCACTGGTCGAGGCCACCAGCGAACCACGCCTCCTTTGTCCGATCGCCCTCTGCCCTGACTGAAAACGTCATTCGGAGAATTTGGAACATCTTCGTCGGGTGGTCAAGCGAAAGGAAAGGGTCACAGGGCGACGGGATTGCAATTCAGGTATACACAATGTACGACTTATCTTAAAACATTCATACCCCTGTAGATAATCGACCCGTTTAACGAAAGAGCCTCTTTCGAAATTCGGCAAAGTAAATCGATCGCAACGTCCTTCAAGGACGAGTGCGTTCTCGCAGTCCATGAATGCACACAAGAAAAAATTTACATAAGGCTGGATTTCTCGAGATTTTACTGAATTTCTGTGTCATTTTATCTACAGTCTGGAAGATGTCGGTAAGGGTGAACTTGGACGAGCCGCGGTGGGACCAGAGCACCTACAATGGTCGTGCTCAGCACTTTTTTTCGACCACCAACCCCCTCAATCTGCTGTGTTCGTCGTCCGAGCTGGATGAAGCCAAAGAACTTGTCACTAAGTACAAGTAAGGAGAAATTTAAACTAAACCCTTATAATTATGTATCATTCCAATCTGTGGTCCTTTATTTGTATTTTAAAAATTAATTTTAACACAAATTTATTTCCTTTTCTTTTCATTGAATTTATTATTATTCATTTTAAAGTGTAAATCACAAAGGTTTTTATTACATAGACTGTTTTGATCTATTTTTGGCTTATTGTTTAATTGAACAATTAATCAAACAGTAATTAATCATTTTGGAAGTTTGCTCAGAGCAATCAAGCAAAGTATTAAAGACAATATAATTATTGTTCAAATTTTAAACTTGTTAACATATTTAAATATTATCAATAAAATATATATATTTATCAAGATCAAATTAATTTTTAGTCCAATTTTCTTCAAACAAAAAAACAAATGTATCTTTTAACAAAGATCTTTAGTTGTAGGGTGTTAAATACCGCGAAATACCAAGTTTATTTTTTGCACACTTAAAAAGGATATTGGAATGCAGTACATGCAAAACAGTACTAACTCAATCAACATTCCACAGACAGGGAGTTGAGATTCCTGGACTGACAGAAGACAAGATCTGGCGGGCCAAGCAATTGTACGACTCGGCATTCCACCCCGACACAGGGGAGAAGATGCTGCTGATCGGCCGGATGTCGGCGCAAGTGCCAATGAACATGACCATCACTGGTTGCATGATGACTTTTTACAAGTAAAGAAGAATTAAAAACACTTTTTTCTGAAATTTTAAGATTATGATCTATTTTTAGAACCACCCCAGCTGTCGTCTTTTGGCAGTGGATTAACCAGAGCTTCAACGCCGTAGTCAATTATACAAATCGCAGTGGCGATTCACCCATTACTGTCAAGTAAGTACATTTTTTCAGATAACTCAATTATTATTCACTGTGTTTATTTTATTTATTATTAATTATTTTTTTGACAGTTTATAGTGGAATTTTTAAATTAAATAAAATGTAACTACAAAAAATATTAGGTTTCAGTCATTGGAACTTTTTTTTAAATGTAAGTTTTTTTATAAAAAAAATTGCCGTTTTAGACAGCTGGGAACATCATACGTTTTGGCCACTGGAGGTGCCCTAGTCACTGCTTTAGGCTTAAATAGCCTCGTCAAGACGGCGCCTGCTCTGATCGGACGTTTTGTGCCGTTTGCTGCCGTGGCCGCTGCAAACTGCGTCAACATCCCCATGATGAGGATGAAGTAATTATTTTTTTTTTTTTTTTCAAAAAATTTTTAGACTTAATTACTTAATTTAGGGAAATTCAAGAGGGCATCCCTGTCGTTGACGCCAATGGAAACAAATTGGGAGAATCGAAAGTTGCCGCCAAAACAGGAATCATCGCTGTCGTCCTTAGCAGGATCGGCATGGCCTCTCCGGGCATGGGTTAGTGAAACACAAAATTGAAATCTTTCCATGACTGACTGAATTTTTTATGACAGTTATTCCTCCTCTTGTTATGAACACTCTGGAGCGTAAAAAGGTACTGGCGAAAATTCCATGGGCCAACGCACCGTTGCAGGTGCTCCTCTGTGGCTTCTGTTTGACATTTGCCACTCCGATGTGCTGCGCTCTCTTCCCCCAAAAGGCCTCCATAGCCGTGGCAGACCTTGAGCCAGAGCTAAAGGTTTGTGGCTTATTTAAATAGATTTTAAAGCAAATTTTTACTATTCTATTATTATTGCAGGCCAAAATCGAAGCAATGCCTAATGCCCCAACCACTGTGTACTACAACAAAGGTCTGTAAAAGGAAGATTACCTGGGAGCAAGAGCAAAATTGACAATAATAGCGGCGTAAAAAATCGCCGTGAGATGCATGTGTAGAAAAAAGTAGTTGGGTATATCAATGTAGTTAAGGTATAAATCTTTGTGCAAAGCCACTCAGATAAGATCTTGTGCCATTCAGGTGCAAATGAAAATAATTCTCATGTGCAATGTAGTTGTGAGTGCCATTTTTAGTTCTGGATGGAATTTTGCCCATGGCCGCAAGTTGATTTTTATGGATGTTGATGGATCCGCTATAATTTATTCTTGGGCAATGTGCCAAGTGCACAATAAATGCAATTATACATGAAGAAAAATAACTGCCGTTCAATTAAAAGTGCAATAATGTGATTTTTAAACTAGACGCATTGGTTCCTAGAAATATTTTCTTTTTTTACACACGTTGATTTACCTCAGAAGCGCACAGCAGTTGTTGAAACATCACTTGCCTCACTCGGATCACACATTTTAGTAAGAGAATTTTTTGCGCAAGTACTTTTGCATTCCATATCTAAAAATGATATAATGTTAAGAACAGCTGAAGCTGTCGATATATCTGTTTTATCCGCAGAGTGATTTATCAAAGTGGTTGTGCTGTCGTGTTGTGAAAGTTTATTGACGCACAAACGCTTTTTTTAAGTCCATATTAATATAATTGTTATTGTGCATGAATAATTGAAACTAAAAAAATTCTGTATGTGCTGTGGGGCTCAACTCTGTTGGACAATAATAAAATGCAATCGTTGTTGATCAACTAGATTTTTCATTCATTCAACATGAATTCGGTAGACTTTTGGATTTTTAGATCTAAACAAATCAAAATATGTTCTGATACTATTAACAAGTTTGATTGTATACTTTTATTAATTAAATATCTGGTATAAATCGTAATATTTCACAGTGAATTGATTTTATTTAAACATATGATCTGTAAATTTATTTAAATAAAGAGGGAAGTATTTAAATATTTGAAACCATTTTAACCAAAATGATAAGGTTATAAATAATAGGATTAGAATAGACTTCAAATTAATTGAAAAAATCATTTAGATTTTAGCGGATTTTAGATTTGTAGTGAGCATTATTAAGCATACCAAAATAATTTGTTGAAAATTTTATTATTTAAAAAAGCTCTATCGGCAGATTTGGTATGTCTGTGACTCTATTAATCTATTTCAAAAGCAAGAAATATTAGAGCTTTTTTTTAATACATATTATGTAATACAAAAAAAATCAATAGGGTACAAAAAAACAATTTTATCACTGACATGTATCAACTTCTTCCCATGAAAAATTTCATCACAATTTATTTTATTGTGATTTTTTTTAATTAAAAAAAACTGTTTTGTTTTTATTTTTATGTGTAAAAAAAACCAAAAGAAAGTTGTAAGTTCTAAAACAAAAAGTTAAGATTTTAATTTAAACAATTTTTCTGAAAATTATAAATTATTTATAAAATTTTAAATATTATGCGTTTTTTTTTATCGGAAAAAAAATAATATTTTACTTATAGGTCTACAAAATTATCCACTCTGCAAATAAAAATAATTTATTTTTATATTCAATTCCAATAAATTATTAACAATATTATTAAAAATTTCAATGTCGTATTTATTATGGTTCTTTCAGCAGCAGCCCCAGCCCCACTCATTCATTCTTTCCCTTCATCCCAAACGCTCCCCTCCACCGGTCTTTCCCAAAAACATTATCCCTTTCTCGTTTCTCGTCTCCCGCTGCAGCAAATCGGCAGAAGAGCCTTCGCTGCACGCGAGGACAGAGCAGGGAAAGGAGTGAAAGACGAATCAAAACATTAAGGGTTACAGTGCACCCCTAGAATATGCACGGGTGGCTCGTGGTGGCCGTTTTGGCCGCCTGCGGCCACTGGGCGGCAGGTGAACTGCTGACACCACCGTACTTCAATCTCGCCGAGGGCCGACGAATTTCGGCAACAGCCACTTGCGGTGACACCAACCCTCCTGAATTGTACTGCAAGCTGGTCGGCGCGACCACCGAGGACAACCAGAATATCATCCACGGACAGGTACGTAAACGATTTTGTGATAAATATTGAATTGTGCGATGCCAAAATCAATCTATTATAAATCATCTTGAATTTTGATTTTTTTTTTTCAATTTGTACATTTGGGTGTTGATACAATTCAAATTTATGTAATCATTTTTTTTAAGTAGATCATTTTTTCTAGTTTGTAACAGTCGATAGTACAAACAAATCCTATATCAAATTCCTGCCTGTTTAGTAAGAATTAATGTACAAAATATGACGAGATATTTTTTTTTAATTAATCTTTTCCAAGCTTGCAAGATCTGTTTGGTGCAGTCATGGTGAGAGACAAATCTTTGGTTGTTAGGATTGTCAGAGGCCGGAGTTCAAATGTAAAATTTAAAGATAACGGCCTTCCTGATCTTTTGGCTCTCTTGACTTCTACTTTTGATTGTAAGATACAAAATATTGCCTGCCCGACTTATATATTTGAGCAAACAGAGCCACTGTTCAAAGGTCACTCATGCAATATATTTTGATCTTTTAGAAATACATTTAATTTATTTTGATAAATTCCTGTAAGGCAAAAACAAAATTGTTTATATTTTTTTCTAATTCAATTTAAATTTTAGTTTTTTTCTTAGTTTTTCTGCAAAAATGGTGACAAAATAGGTCCCCTAAATTTTATATAAATGCTTTCGAATAGGTTTCTATTTTCATTTCAATCAATCAACTCTAATTAAAATACCAAAGAATTAAATTTTTACTCATAAAATGACTTCTAGATTTAAAATTTGGAATTTTGTCCTTTCATTTTCGCATGTTTTTATTACAATGATTATGTATATTAGATACTCTCTTTGTAGAATTGAACAAGCTTAGTAAATAAAATTTCCAAAATCTACTACGTAATGTAAATCTTAAATTTTAAATGCATAAAAATTTAAATTTTAAGTAATGAGTGAATTCAAATGTTTTAATTTTTTTAACAAAATATTCACCGAATTATGAATGATTTGATGTTTGCAGGCATGCGATTTCTGCGACCCTGCTGTTCCCGCGAGGTGGCACCCTGCCGAGTACGCCATCGACGGCACCACTCGTTGGTGGCAAAGTCCGCCCCTGTCCAGGGGTGCCAAGTACAACGAGGTCAACTTGACCATCGATCTCGGACAGGTCAGCATTATTTGTTTGATAACCATTATATGGAAATTAGCAGTTGCGGAATTAGAGTCGAGCGCTTCTTGTGTCACACGCATTTTGATGGGCGCGCAAATTATTCACTTGGCGCAGCATCTGCCCTTTTGGCGTTGCGTCATCGCTGCTGGCTGTAATTATAATTGAGAGACACTTGCCGAATGGTTCAGAGCAAAAAACGCGAGAGCAGCAGCTTCCCTTGAAACGGAGCCCTCTATTCTTTTCACATCACGCGTTTATCTTTTTTAAGCGCTACTAGCTTGTTAGTGGAAAACAAAAATAAAGTATTTTGAGGGGGACAAAAAATAATCGAGAGGATATATAAACAAAATATTTTTCTCAATTAATTTAATTTCTTTCTAAAATTTATTTATCCTGCGGAATGTTAAATTATACTATCTGCAAGTGATTATTAATAAAAATAATTCCAAACTGTAGCATTTTCATCCTGTGTAGTTATATTTTCTTCTCGCCACTGCCAACGTTTCCTTTCCTGTGCTTGTGTAAAGTGCCAGATATAATGGGGAGGGCAAAAAGCGTCGGCCAAAGTTCTCGTAAGGCTTATATGATGCTCTGTATATTGCCAGATGTGGACGCCGACGCTTTTCTCATTGTGTGTCTCATCTGGCGAACACATGTAGCTTGGCCTGTGGGAATCGGACTCGGAGACTAACACACCCCACTTTGGATGAACAAAATATCCAAAATATACACTCCGTCCAAATGCTTCTCTGCTCAAAAAGAGAGTTTATTTAGAACGTGTAAAAGTTTAAATCATGGACTAGTTCAATTATAGTTTTCAAATAATATATTGCAGCTTTTGATAACTTTTGGTGAACTGAAACCTAAAAATATTTGTTTTAAAAATTATCAAAGTATTTATTTATTTATTCTCCATTCAGATACATGAAATACACAACATCTTACATCAAGTCAATACACAAAAGATTAATAAAACTGATCCAGTTTCATTTTTGACTTCTCAGCCTAATATTCTCATTGACAATCCTCTCTTATTAGCGCCTTATCGATTTTTGGTTATCATCCCGGCCCCGCCGCCGGAAGCTGGTCGCAATGTGTTCAGGGCAGATAGAGGACCGCCTCTGTTCAAAGGGAAACAGTGTGTGGGCGACCTCCTCTGCAGCATTTCTTATCAATGGGAATGCCTTCATCCTGCCTCCGTTAACGAATGCTTTCGCTTTTTTTTAGCAGCTCAATGATATTTTTTAGAGATGGCAATAAATTTTGATTCTTTTGAAAGTCTCTGAGCTATGAATGTTAAATAAAATATGAACCTTTGAACTAAATGATTCGTAAAAATTAAATTCTACTGCAATGGAGATGTGAATGATTGCAATAAAAATTTACTAAAAGATGTGAGAAATAAAATTGGGAAAATATATAGACGGAAAATAGGAAAATTAACCTCGGTTATTATTTAAACTATCTGTATGTAAAATTATTTGCTGGATTTTAATGAAGTATTTATATTTTATTTAGGAATTCCATATCGCCTATGTGTTTATCAGAATGGCCAACTCTCCACGTCCCGGCGTTTGGGCTCTGGAGCGGTCTGTGGACAACGGATTGTCTTACAAACCGTGGCAATACTTTGCCGACACTCCTAGGTAAAATTAGTATCAAACCAGAAAAGACTTGTCGAAAACCCAATTTTATAACTCAACAGCGACTGTGAACAGTACTTTGGCAAAGAGAGTCTCCAGCCCATCACCCGAGACGACTCGGTTATCTGCGACACGCAGTTTTCCAAAGTCGTGCCTCTGGAAGGCGGCGAGGTTTGTCATAAAAAATGTGTTTGAACTTGATTTTTATTAAAAACTGAATTTTTTCAGATGGTCGCATTTATTGTTAAGAACAGACCATCTGCCAATGATTACTTTAACTCGACCGTGCTGCAAGAATGGAGCAGAGCCACCAATATTAGGTTGCGTCTACTGCGAACGAAAACGCTGCTTGGACATCTCATGTCTGTTGTCCAACGACAAGACCCCACTGTTACAAGAAGGGTATTTTCATTTTATTTGTTTGTATTGTGAATTATTGCCACTCGTTTAACTACATAAATTAAATTCAATTTTTCATTTTAACTTATTAAAAGTTGATTTTATTCTTAAATTTGTATATATTTTAAATTTGAATTTCAGTATTTCTATTCGATCAAAGACATCAGCATTGGAGGTCGGTGCGTGTGCAACGGCCACGCCGACACTTGTGACATCACTGATCCGAACGACCCTTACCAGCTGCGGTGCCGCTGCCAGCACAACACTTGTGGCGCTCAGTGTGAGCAGTGCTGTCCAGGCTTTGTGCAAAAAGCCTGGCGCCAGTCCAAAGCTTTCCAGATTTTCCAGTGCGAACGTAAGATTTCCAATGTTTTATTTTTATAAGGTAAAAAAGATATATCTGTTTAGCGTGTAACTGCTTTGGGCATAGCGATGAGTGCGAGTATGACGCTGAAGTTGACAAAATGCAGGAGTCACTTGACATCCACGGCCGTTATGAGGGTGGTGGTGTTTGTCAAAATTGCCGAGACAACACTGAAGGCAACAACTGTGACCGTTGCAAGCAAGGGTACTACAGGCCATATGGCGTCTTCCTCAATGACACAAACGTCTGCCAACGTAGGTTTTCTTTTCTGTTTTAATTTCTCTTTGTAATATTTGAAAATTTTAGCATATAATTTTTAAATTTGTTTTAATTACATCCCAAAGATTTTATTTATAAAATTTGTATGTTCTTCTAGCTTGTCAGTGCGATTATTTCTATGCTACTGGCAATTGCCAAGAAGGAAATGGCCAATGCGAGTGCAAACCCGAATTCCAGCCACCTAACTGTGACCGATGCAGTTTTGGTCATTTCGGCTACCCTGAATGCAAACCCTGCGAGTGTCACATTAATGGCACTCGGGAGGGACAATGTGAGGCCACTCGCGGAACAGACGGCGTCCAGTGCCCTTGCAAACAGGGCTACTCCGGCAGCTTCTGCAACCAGTGCGCCGAGGGCTATTACGACTTCCCTAATTGTGTACGATGCGAATGTAACTCTGTTGGCTCGCGGTCTCCCGTGTGTGACGTTGGCTCTGGTCAATGCAGTTGCAAGAACAACTACGGAGGACGAGCATGTGACGTCTGTCAGGTAACACAGAAATCAATTTTATGTGTAATTCTGTGTAATTCAAATTTGTAATGTTCAATAAAATTAATTAATAGTCTTCAGTTTTGCGATAACTTAAATGAACATTGTTTTTGGTTTAATTTTTAATATTTTCATTTCTTTAGGATGGCTTTTATGGTTATCCCGATTGCGAATACTGTAACTGCGATAACAAAGGGACCGAGCCTGGAATTTGCGATAAGGATTCAGGCCAGTGCTTGTGTAAGGAAGGTTATGGAGGCGCTCGTTGCGACCAATGCAAGCCAGGCTATTATGGCTACCCTGAATGCAGACCTTGCGGTTGCAGTAATAATGGCAGCACTTCAGACGTATGTGATACCAACAATGGCAGGTGTCGGTGTAAGGGCAACTTTGCTGGAAGAACCTGCGACCAGTGCAATCCTGGATATTACAAGTACCCTGAATGTTCAGGTTAGTTTTTCTGGTTCATAATTTTAATTAATATCTTATGGCGCATGAATAAAATTTAAGCTTGCAACTGTGACGGAAGTGGGTCGATTGGCGTTTCTTGCGACAATGAAGGAATTTGCCAGTGCCACAAGAACTTTGACGGCATTCAATGTGAACGTTGCAAGGAAGGTTTCTACAACTTCCCCATCTGCGAGGAGTGCAATTGCGACCCTGCTGGTGTAACACAGACCTTCCAAGGTTGCGGCTCCGTACCTGCTGGTGAGCTTTGCGAGTGCAAAAATAGAGTTCAGGGACGAATCTGCAACGAGTGCAGACCACTCTTCTGGAACCTGCAGGCAGCTAACCCACAGGTAATTTTCTGATCAATCAACTTTTCTTGAACTTAGCTAATTTTTGAGAAAATCAGGGTTGCGAGGAATGTTCGTGCAATGTTGCTGGAACTGTGGGTGGCATCAGAGTATGTGACACCAAAAGCGGGCAGTGTGTGTGCAAACCGTCAGTCACATCCAGAAGATGCGACGAGTGCGCTGACGGAAGCTATGATTTGATTGAAAATAATCTTTTTGGGTGCACAGGTTTGTGTTGAATTCATTTTTCCCTAAAATAATCAGTTTCATAAAAAGCTGTTGATGTCAGCATTAAATTTAAGTTCAATAGGTAAAATAAAAATATCGATCCATAATTTTTTTCAATTTGCAGATTGCGCTTGTGACATTGGTGGTTCTGTGAATAGCATTTGTGACAAAGCAACTGGCCAATGTTTGTGCCAGCCCCGTGTCTCTGGCCGAACTTGTGATGAGCCGCTCCAAATGCACTACTTTCCAACTTTATATCAACTCCAGCATGAAGCTGAAGATGGTCGAACACCCTCTGGCTCGCAAGTTCGCTTTGCATACAGCGACGACGAGTTCCCTGAATTTTCCTGGAAAGGGTATGCCGTCTTCTCCCAGCTGCAGAATGAAATCGTCCATGAGGTCCCAATTCAGAGGCCCTCTCTTTATCGAATGGTGCTCCGGTATGTCAATCGTAATCCGGAACCAGTTGTTGGCTATGTGACCGTCAAGCCGGATAACATAGCCGGAACAGACGTGGAGCAGTCCTTCAAAGTACTGTTCAAACCAACTTCTGAGCCTGACTTTGTTACTGTTGCTGACCCTGTTCGTGGAATTCCATCTCATCTGGTCATGAACCCAGGAAACTGGCAGGTGCATACGAAGATTGACAAGGCCAACATTTTCCTTGACTACTTTGTTCTGCTCCCTTCTGCCTTTTACGAGGCCAACATTTTAGTCAGCAGTGCAAACAAGCCCTGCTTGCTTGCTAATCAAGCACTTTGCACTCACTATAGGTTTGTGATTTATATTTCTTTAAATTCAATTTTTTCACGTTTTGGGCAAAAATTCAACATTTTGAACAAAACTTTTTTTTACAAAACTAGGTATCCGAGCTGCAATCGTTTTGACGTTGTTAGCGGTGATGCTGGATTTGTGGATAATAATGGCTTCAGGGAGCAAATGAAGATATTCTTTACTGACGAAGCTGTGAGTTAAATAATTTTACAAAACATCTCATTGGTTTCAAAATAATTTTTTTTTGTTTTAATAATTATTTAATTTAAAAAATTTTATGTATTAATAATTTGAGTTTCTTAGCTTGAAAAAATTAAAAAACCATAATTTTATTTCTCTAGCAACTTGATCAACTTGGTCTTACTGGTGATTTTCCTCTAATTAATGCTGACCAAGAAGAGGTTCATTTGGAGATACGTGTTACAAAACCAGGAAAGTACGTCCTTCTCCTGAACTACTTCTCAGCAGATGATGATTCTGAGCCATCCACCCTTCTTGTTGAGACTAGCACAAAAACAGGTAAAAGTTTTTTAGAAGTAGGAAGTAGGACTGGGAAAATAACTTATAGAATTTATGAATAGTGAAATAAGCTTTTGAATAAATTTTAATACAAATTTTTTAGGTCGTGATAATGGCAAAGTAGTCTTGTATCAGTGCCGCTACACAACTCTTTGTCGCCAGGCTGTTACAGACACAGATGGCAAGGTGGCAGTTTTCAACTTTGACTCAAATTCAATAAGTGTTGTTTTGAAGGTAAATCACCGTCATCTACAAATTTTGCTCATTATTTTTTTTTCAATAATTTTACTAGGCTGCAGAGGACAATGATACCAGCATTGCCCTGCACAGTGTTGTGGCTATTCCACTTGAAAAATGGCACATTGACTATATTAAGCCAAAGGCTGCTTGTGTGCGTAAAGATGGCAAGTGCCTGCAAGCCACATATCCTCTGCCACCCTCGTCGAAGAGGATTGAATTTGAGCAGGATAATCAGGATCTGGTGGCCACTGAGCTGCCGTCCGACATTGTGGACCCTGACGCCGTTCTTGTTTACTTGGGTGACAAAATTATTGATATTGCTGGTCAGGTGCCTCAGGAGGGCAAATATGTGTTCATCGTACACTTCTATCAACCGGATTTCCCAGGTAAAATTAAGCTTTGTCTGAATTGAATTTTGGATTCATTTTTTAATAAAATTTTTTAGAGTTTGAGATTGAGGGACTAGTGCATAATGGTCAAATGTATGAGTCAAAGTTGGCAGTGACTCATTGTCCGTCTAACTCGGGTTGCAGAGCTTTGATTAAACAACATGACGGAAATCATGAATTCCAGCTCACACAAAACTTCCATCTTACGCTTCGGGTATTAAAGTCTCCAAAAATTTATCCCTAAAATAAAATAAAAATTATATATATTATAGGACCAACCAGGGAAAGGGCTATGGCTCGACTACTTTATTGTTGTTCCTGCCGATCAATATAGTCCTGAAGTGCTGCAAGAAGATTCTCTTGACCAGACAGGTGTATTTATCTCTCAGTGTGGCAAGAACAACTTCCACGTTGACTCGAATACAACTGGCAAGTTTAACTTCTAAAAATATAACCTTTTGCTTTATTTGTAAGAGTTTATTATTTAAGGTTTCTGTCGTGATGCTGTATTTTCACTGACCACTGATTTTAACAACGGCGCTTTACCTTGTAATTGTGACTTCAGCGGGTCACTCAGCTTTGAATGTGACAAATTTGGCGGCCAGTGTCAGTGCCGTGAGAACGTGATCGGTAGGAAATGTGAGGCTTGCAAGACCGGCTTCTTTGGCTTCCCAGACTGCAAAAAATGCGATTGCCCTTCAACTGCCCTTTGCGATGCCGAGACAGGTACAATTAATATTAATCCAAATTATTTAAATTTAAACACATTTTTTTTTTATAATATTTTTTATATAAATAACTTGAACAAAAATTATTTACAGGTGCTTGCATTTGCCCATCCAAAGTCACTGGTGAGAAGTGTGACCAGTGTGAGGCATACACATTTGGTTTTGATCCAATTATTGGCTGCGAGGAGTGTGATTGCAACCGCTTTGGTGTCAACCGTGGAAACTTGCAGTGCGATTTGGAGACTGGCTTTTGCGAGTAAGAGAATTTTGTTAAAATTCTCCCTGCAATGATTTAATAAAAATGTAACTATCAATGTAGCTGCAAGCAAAATGTAGTGGGTAGAACTTGTGATCATTGTGAGGCTGGGCACTATTACTTCCCTTATTGCGACCAATGCAACTGTGATCTCCGAGGAACCAAGCCAGAGATCTGCGACCAGGTATAAATAATAAATTCAATTCTTTGAATGTTTTTAAGGTTAGAGCGAAGAAAAAATTAATTAGTTGTCATCGCTTATTTTAGAGTACAGCAGCATGTCACTGCAAAGATAATGTCCAAGGAAACTCTTGTGAATACTGCATCGATGGAACGTTCAATCTAAAGGAGTCCAACCCCGAAGGGTGTAGCAAGTGTTTCTGCTTTGGAAAAGCATCTCGTTGCTCTTCCTCTGGTCTCTATTACACCCCTGTTAGTAATTTTTACATTTTTTATTTTTGTGTACATATAAATAAAATCAATTAATAGGAAATGCAAATGGATGGATGGACCATTGCCAGCGTGCTCCCAGATGCCGAAGTTGAGCCAATTGAAGTTGAGCTGAACTATACGCAATACGCAGTGGTAGCAGATTTTGCTCCCGAAGAATTGCTGAACAAAATTGCATTTTTCGTCGCACCAGAGGATTACCTTGGCAAGAAATTACATACTTATGGTGGTCAGCTCAACTACATGATCCTTTACAACAGTGGAATCTCTGGTAAAATTTCGATAAACATTTAATTATGTGTACAATAAAAAAGATATATTTTATTGGTTTTAGGGGTGGCCATTCACGCAGCCGATGTGATTCTCCGTGGCGCCGGCATCGAACTTATGCATTTCAGCGTGGAGCAACCTGCTGGAGCGCAGTTCTGGTCACACAGAGTGCAATTGCTGGAGGAAAATTTCCAACTGCAAAGTGGTGCTCCGGCTACAAGAGAGCAGCTCATGCAAGTTCTCCACACACTAACTGGTCTTTATATAAGAGCGACGTACTGGAATTCAACCATCAAAGCCAGGTACTAAAATCAATTATTTTTTTCTTTCTTAAATTTTTTAGAGGTTTTGAAGGAAAACAATTCATGTAAAATAATTTATTACAGATTGGATAATGTGACAATGGACATTGGCGTGTCTCCCGAATATGCCGCCGACCTGGACTACAGCGCTCTTGATGTTGAGGAGTGTGCCTGCCCACCTAACTACCAGGGGCTCTCATGTGAGGACTGCTCCCCTGGATATTTCCGTGCTCAAACTGGACCCTACGGAGGTTTCTGCACACCCTGCATGTGCAATGGCCATGCAGATACTTGTGACCCAGTCACTGGCGTCTGCATTGTGAGTCTATCTTTCTTTTTATTTGAGAATTTCAAAACTGATATTAATAAATCTTGAAAATTTAGAACTGCAAGCACAACACTGCCGGCGACCACTGCGAAATGTGCGAAGTTGGTTACCACGGTGATGCCACTTTTGGTCTTCCATCAGACTGCCTTATTTGCGCGTGTCCTCTACCAATCTCCTCCAACAAGTAAACTTTATCTTTTGCCATTTACAAAAAAAGAAAAATTATTTTATTTGACAGTTTTGCTACTGGTTGTAACGTTTCTAACGACGGCGCTTGGATTGCTTGCGACTGTAAGCCAGGCTATGCTGGCCCTCGTTGTGAAGCATGTGCCTCTGGCTTTTATGGCAGACCTGAGGTCGAAGGTGATTACTGCAAACCATGCCAGTGCTCAGGCAACATTGACTCGAATGATCCGGGATCATGTGATTCCATGACTGGCAAATGCATCAACTGCCTCAACAATGCTGCTGGTGACGCCTGCTCGATTTGCAGGCCTGGCTTCTTTGGTGACGCCGTAGAACTTAAAGATTGCCAGAGTATGATAAAAATAACTCCCAAGTTGTAACAAAGCTTAAATTTTTTTTTTAGCTTGTGATTGTAATGAGAGTGGTACAGAGCACTGTGACAGCTACACTGGGCAGTGCGAATGTCTGCCAAATGTTGTTGGTGACAAGTGCGATAGATGCAACTACGACCATTGGAACTTTGATTCTCGTCAGGTAAAATTTGTATTTTCCTACAAGAAAAAATGTTATTTCAAAATTTCCAGGGCTGTACTCTGTGTAATTGTGGCGAAGCATCAGAGTCGACTCAGTGTGACGACAAAACAGGACAGTGCCAGTGCAAACCCGGTGTTGCAGGCCAGAAATGTGATAGGTGCGCACCAGGATTTTGGAATTATAGTCCCGAAGGATGCATCAGTATGTTTACCATATTCTTTTAAATTAATTAAATTATTTATAAAAATGTTCAATTTAAATTTCAAAACATATCTTCTTAAAATTTAACTATCAAACTAATTTAAATTTCTTTATTCTTAGCTTGTGGATGCAACACGAATTTCTCTCGTGGTGTTGGCTGCAACCCTCAAACAGGCCAGTGCGAGTGTCTGACCGGTGTTGAAGGTGAAAAGTGTGACCACTGCCCACACAGGTGGGTGCTTATTCCTGACCAGGGCTGTTTTGGTTGCACCACTTGCATTGACAACCTGCTTGATGTCACTGATAAACTCCAGCTAGCGATTGATCCAGTTATGGATGAATTTAATGTAATTAAATCTATATAGTTTTTTGTTTAGTGTATTTTAAAATGAAAAAATTTCTCTAGACGGTTGCTATGGGCTACTTTACAACGCAGAGGTTGATCTACATCAATGAGTCTGTCTTTGATCTGAAACCCAAAGTTGTAACTCTCAACCCTGATAAGGTTAACTTGACCCCTATGCAAAATGACGTGGAATCTTTGGAGCAAGATTACCGCTCTATCCATCGCCGAGTAAGAGAATCAATAACACCACTTAGTTTGAGAATGAAACGAAAAATTAAAATTTTTAGAGTCAATATGCACAAACCAACGCAGAAAAGCTGAACGGCGACAAAATGAATATGGAGGCTCTTGATGTGGAAGAATTGGTCAACCAGGCTGTCATTCATGCACAAACCATTGTTATGGAGGTGAACGACTTGGCGTACAGTCTGGACGGAGGTGGTAGTCCCCAAGCAGCATTGCAAGCTCTGCAAGAGGCTGAGGCCATTCTTGAGGAAATAAAGGCAAAAGATCTGAGCAGCAGTCGCACGGAGGCTGAAGAAGTTCTGGCGAAAGTGCGTGAGCTGCATGAACGAATGCGTCAGTTTGCTCTTCCTGTTGCTAGCCAAACAGAGGCCCTGTCGAACCTCAGCACAAAGGTAGAGGATTTCGGTAAAAAGTTGGACGATTTGAGGAAACACTCCGACGAGACATTTGACAGTGCTGAAGAACACGAGAATCTCAACTTGGCAGCCAAGTAAGACAATTTTATCTGTTATTACTATTAATATACCAAAACATTATTAGGAGTGATCGTCTCTCAAACAAAGTTGAGCGGGTCAAAAATTCTTCTTTGGCTGGTGAAAAGGCGCTCGAGAATGCAAGAGAGCTAAATAAGCAAAGCGAGGAGCTGCTTAATGAGGCTCGAGATAACTTCAACAAATTCAGTAATAAAATATTTTTATTTGTGCTTATTTTATTTATTCAAGGATATATTAATCTAGGCGAAACATATGATGACTTGGGAAAATCTATTTCAAGACTAAATGCCAGTTATGCAGACACCGAGTCGCAACTCGATGATATAAATCAACCAGCAAGGGAAGCGCAAGACCATGCTGATGAGATTAAAGAGAGGGTTTGTATTTTTACTTTATCCTTGGCTCATTAAATTAATGAAGTTATCTAAATCTGGGATTCATTTCTATGAAATTCATTGAATGAATTAAAATTAATAGCCATTTTAAAAATTTCAGGCCCAAAAATTAGATGACATGTTGGCCGACACAAGAGACTTGTCAAAGGTGGCCGTCGGTGCAGCCAAGGCTTATGAAAACATAGCTGACGCCATCGAAAAAGCTATGCAAGCTGCCAGGGAGGCAGGGGAGGTTGCCACTGATGCTGCTGAAAAGGTTTTTTATTTGTGATATACAAGTAACGTTTGTTTAATTATTGCATTTTATTTAGTCGGAGGGAAGTGAGGAGAAAGCATTGGAGCACAAAGAAAAGTCAAACGGACTATTGGAGCGGGCGCGGCGAGCTCACGAGAGGGTAGAGGATGATCTACGTCCACAGTTGGATGATGCCCTGTTTGCTGTCGATGAAGTGCGAACCATGAATCAGCAGGCAGCTTCCACTGATGAGCTCATTGGACGAATGCTGGCGACGCTGCCACCAAGTGATGCAGCTCAGCTTGCGGAACAAACTAGGGAGGCGATTAGGAGAAGCGAAGATGCAAACCGTGCCGCCCAAGAGGCACTTGGTAACATTGAAGACATGGAGTCTCGTTTGCCTGACTACCTGGAAGATGCACGTCAGCTCCCCAAAAGCATGGATGACACTGCAAAGAAAATTGACGGGTCCACTGCTCATGGTAATAGAATTTGAATTTTTCACCTTTTATATTTTTGTCATTTTTTTTCTTAATTTAATTTTTTGACAAATGCATTGCTAACATATTATTTTCAGTCGAGCGTGTCAGCAAAGTGCTGCCTGATATCAATACGTTGATTGGAACTGTGAAAAATGAGCAGGAGCGTCTGGTTGAGAAGGGCAAAGATGTTGGCCTGCAGATCGAGGAACTCAAAAAGCAAGTTGTTCAGGCTCGTGATTTGGCAAATAGGTAATATTTCTACTCTTTTATTTGGAAACAACAATTTTAATCATATATTTATGTTAATCCATCAGGATTAAGGTTGGAGTGACTTTCTATCCAAATACCACTTTAGAACTGAAGAACCCTGAAGGCTTGGCATTGTTAGCCACGTCTACAAAGGTCTCAACCTACTTGCGCACCGACAAACCAAACGGATTTGTCCTCTACCTCGGAAATGCAATTGGCACCAAGAATTTGGTCAAGAGGGCAAAGACAGTAATATTTCAAAATGTCCATTTTATAACTTTTTTAAAATTTTATTTTGTATGCAGGATGACTTTGTTGCTCTGGAAATTGAAAACGGTTATCCTGTTTTAACGATTGACTTGGGATCAGGCCCGCAGAGAATTGTGAATGAGAAGTTTGTTGCTGATGATGTGTGGTACCAAATTATTATTGAGAGGTAAGAGAATTGATTAATATTTAATTTTGAAATTAAATTTAAAAATCTTTTAGAACTGGTAAGAATGCCAAACTGACTGTGCGCCAAGAGGGATTAGAAGGAAAAGAATTGAAGTACGAGAAGGTCGAAGCACTTACCGGCACGCATTCTATCCTCAATCTTGACCAGAGTTTGTCTAAGTTGTTTGTTGGTGGCTACCCATCATCATTCAACATTCAGGACGCTGTCAAGTACTCTTCATTCGAAGGCCAGATGGAAGAACTTGTCATTGGCGAGACTCCAGTAGGTCTATGGAACTTTGCTGATGCTGTTAATAATGAGCGTGCGGCAATTGAAAGGTAATTATTCTAAAATAGTTTTTTTTATTTGTATAAAAATACATAAACTTAATTTAATTTCTTTATCACAGGGATAAGCTTGTGAATCTACAGACAAGCACAGGCCTTCGCTTTGACGGTGAAGGATATGCTGAAGTTGAAGCTCAGCAGTACGTCCGACCAGAGCAGACAGCTGTTTCCTTTAAATTCAAGACTTACGGGGAGGAAGGTCTGCTTTTCCTAATGGGCATTGGTTCCAATTACCTGGCTGTACAGCTGCGACGAGGAAGGGTTGTTACCCAGGTACAATGGTTATTTTTTAAGTAACATTTTAATTGAAATAATGTACATATGATTACAGCTAAATCTTGGTGATGGTCCCATGGAAGTTGAGTCCAAGAGCAAGTATAATGATGGCAGGTGGCATACAGTAGAGATTGCAAGAGACAGGAAGCTCGGAAATGTTAAGGTATACTATTATTTTTCAGCTAAAATATCATGAATTAAATCTAACTTGTTATTTTTTCTTGCAGATTAATCAACAAATCGAAGGAGACCTTTCGGCGCCTGTTACCTCAACTGATAATCTGATGCCTGAAAAGATGTACTTCGGTGGATTCCCTGGACAGCATTCTTACCCCGAATTAACAAATGTTGACTTTGATGGTTGCATTGATGATGTAGAATTAGACAGTGAGCCAGTTGACTTGACGCAGACAAAGGCATTCGGAGTTGCACCTGGATGTCCTTCAAAGGTGAAATATTATTAAAATTAATGAGAGCAATTATATTTTTACTGATATAACTCTTCTAGGTGGCTTCGATTGTGTCATTTGACGAACGTCAACCAGGCTATGTTCGGTGGCCAAATGCGTCCTCTGACAATTTCCTACAACTGACATTAAAACTCCGCTCGAGCGCCCAAAGTGGTCTTATTTATTTAGCCGCCAGTAGGGACCAGCAGTCCACCTTCTCGTTGTCCATGGTCGACGGGAAATTGGTCCTCAGGAGCCAGAAGGAAGAACTCAGTTCTGATGCGAGATATAATGACGGTGAATGGCATGTTCTTACCGCAACTCACAGCTCTGAATCCCTCAGGTGAGAACAAAATATATATTACATTAATGTATGTAGGCAACCTGCATGACCCAATTGCCGAGCAAATTGCCTATCTGTGATTTCACAGGGGCTTAAAAATCTAATAGTAAAATTAATTAATTCATTTAAACATGAATGCTTTCTAATTAATTTATAAAATAATTAAATACTACTTTTTTTAAAGGTTGGACATCGATGACTATGACACATTCACATCAGAGCAACCCCCTCAGCAACTTTATCTGAAATGGGGCACCATGTATTTTGGCGGGCTGCCGACAGACGTCAGTCCTCCTTCGGGTGTTGTTGCAGCATCTAATGCCTTTGTTGGTTGCCTCGGCGATGCAACCGTCAATGGAGTTTTCATCAACTTTGCCAACTCTACTGACCGACCAGGCGCCGTTCTTGGCAAGTGTTCCGGCACCGCTGCCCCAGCAGTGCCTGTTGAACCAGAAGCAGGGAAGGAAGGCAAAATCGGTAAGTATTAGCTATACTGAGTGAACCATGTCTTAACCAAGTATACGCTAATACTTTTAGACAAAGTGCAACCTCAACCAACAAGACCGCCAACAACCACTCCAGAACCCGAGACCACTTTGCCACCTACAACACCACCACCAGCTCAATGTGTGCTGCCCAGATACCCAGCAAAGGATCTTGACGTTGCTGAGGATAGCCTTAGATTTGGTGTGATATATCATTAATATTTTTGGGCGTTTATTTATACAAAATTTAATAATTTCCAGGTCTTGTTCCATACGGCCGTCTAGAGTATAATTCAGTGCCAGGCCAGCTAAAGAAAAAGTTTGACTTCACAATTGAATTTAAAACTTTTGTTGGCGACGGTGTCATCTTCTATGTTGCTGATAAGAACCAAGTTGATCACATTGCTGTCTACATGAAGGATGGAAAGGTCTTCTACAGTTTCAACTGTGGCTCGGGACCATCACTTGTCACATCCACTGGTGTTTACAATGATGGTGATTGGCACACAGTTGCTTTTAGCCGCAAGTCCTCCACTGGCAAGCTTGTCATCGACAACGTTGACAAGGCCGAGGGAACTTCCAAGGGTAACACCAACACAATCAACGTCGCTCCACCCTTCTATTTGGGCGGCATCAGCGATAAGATTGCAAACACCTCCAAGACTAATTTAGCAGTAATGAATAATTTGATTAAATTCACCTATGTGATTTTTAACAATGAAAATATCTTTCAGAATGTTACCAGAACATTTGAAGGTTGTTTGCGAAACTTCAAGATGGGCAACGAGAAAATGGTAGATTTGTCATTCTCGTCTGGAACGTCTCCTTGCTCAGAAAAAGTGGAGGAGGGAGTGTACTTCTCTGCAGATGGTGGATACATTAAAACTGGTATACACTTGCAAAATTATTTAGTGGTCTCATTCTTAAACAAATATTATTTCAGCTGAACCGTTCAGGGTTGGTCTTGAAATCCATGTCAAACTGGACATTCGTCCTCGTAACACCAACGGCATTCTCATGTCTGCGCACGGAAAAGGCGACTACTTTGTCCTACAGTTGATTGATGGTGCAGTCAAGATTAGTGTGAATAATGGAAAGAAGGCTTTCTCGACCACCTTCACTCCGCCTCAGACATATTACTTGTGTGATGGACAGTGGCACAACATAGAGAGTAAAAAATTTTAAAATTTGCTTTATATTTTTTAACATGATTTTAATTTTTATAGTTATCAAGACAAAGGCGCTGGTAACCCTGACTGTAGACAAGATTTCAGCCGACCCAGGAGTTGGCAGTGGACCTCAAACCACTGACACAACACATCCACTCTTCATAGGCAACCATCGTAATTCAAACATGCGCGGATTCGAAACCAAAGACAGGCAGTTTGTTGGTTGCATCAAAAATCTTGTCGTGAATGAGCGTCTTGTCAAGCTAAGCAACTTTGAGGTTCATGGCAACGTCACCCGGAGCTCGTGCCCCACTAACTAAGCATTTGGTAAAATTTCAAACTTTCCACTCGACATTTAAAATGAGAAAACAAAAATACATGCAATTGCGGCATTTACATTTTTTGATGAATTTGCTGAAGAAAATGAAGGTTTTGTTGATATTGAACTATTTGAACAAATTAAAAATAATTGCACAATAAATTTTCCTGTCCAACATAATCTTTATTGATTTAAGCTGCATGACCGAATTACACTTAAAAAATTGTAAAAAAGATAAGTAATTAAATCAATGCAACTATACAATTTGAATCATTAGGCAGATGAGAAAAACCTCGTTGAAACAATAAATCCCAGTTACTCTACGCCGCTAAGCTAATTCTTTAATACCAGCTGGTGCTCCTGGCCAAGGTCATGGGAATATGTTATTTGACTCAAAATTGGGGTGCAAACGAGAGCTTCGACTGTTAGAACGAGATCCAACCTACAGGCCAGGAGCACCTGCTAAATCTTAAAATTAATTCGTAGTAAAATTAAGAGACCTTTTAAATGCTTGCGGTTTGAAATATAATTGTTGTTTGTGCATTTATAAAGGCGTTGGAATGATAGTTAGGGCGAAATTAAATGCGCCACTTCACTTGGGCCTCAGAAAATCGCTTTCGATATGCACATGAGGCCGCAAATAAATGGAATTATCCGGTAGTAATAATTAGTTGTAATTAATATAACAGCTTAAAGCAACAATTTCTTTGCGCTTGTAGTGGAATACATGATTATAAATGTGTAAAACATAACCAGAGAAGAAGGGAAGACAATTACATCAATAGTTGGCTCACGCAAATTTTAAATCTAATTTTGATTGGAGTCAAGGACTTTGATCGAATTATGATGGTTAAAAGCTAATGGGGGTGGTAGGGGGTGGTTTGTGTTGTCGGAGTGCCAGTACCGCTTGCTTTCTTTAACCTAGGGGTCAGGGTGTTCCAGCTGGCGCACCCTGCGGAACCGAGATTGCTTTTATCAGTCAGTCACATCCTCCAACAGACCACGTCCAAAGTTAGAACCTGAGGACACACATTTTCATTTTTTATTCTGATATCATTTTTCTAATTAATTTCTTTGTAGATAAATAAGCTTTTGTTTCATTAAAAAACAATTGATTTTAAGAAACTCAACAAATTTCAAAACATAAACTTTTATGAACTTTTAGAACAGTCCATCATGTGAATTTTTTTTAGTAGAAAACAGTTGTTCTACATTATTTTGGCACTACATTTAAAGAAAAAACGACAAAATTTTACTGTTTGAAATGGATTGATAAAATTAAAGTTACTACGCAATTTTACTGCGGCTTGAGTATTGTTTTTAATTCAGGTTTGTATTGCGAAAAAATGCTACTTTATTGATAATTTTAATTTATAAATTTAATAATAAATTGGTTAGCATTTGCAATCCCCAGCAATCCCTAGGCTAGTTCAAATATATTTCCTATTTGAAAGTTTTAATTTAAAAGACGTGTCATACCACTTGAATTATTAGTTAATCAGAATTAAATTAATTAAGAAAGCACAAAGATTTGAACTAATTTAATGAGAGGATAAAAAGGATAATTAAATTATTTCAAATCTTAAATCTTTAATTATTAAATAACATTTAAAAGGGAAGTTTTTAAGTTAAAAAATAATTAATTCAATCATTTTATATAACTTCTGTAGCTCTATGTAGAAATAAATCAAACATTTAGACCAAAATCTCAAAACTTGAAAATTTCTCACTCCACCTCAAGATAAAATATTCAAATAAATAATTTAGAAAATGAAAATTGAACTCACCGTTGGCGAATATCATCACAAGTCCAGGAACAATCATAAGGTCCTCGCCCATGTGGAAGTTGTCGCACTGCAACGCAACCACCGCCTGCTTCCCCGGAATCCTCTTGCACACATAGTTTTCGTAATGGCGCCTGTTCAGCTGCCTCGTCTCTAGAGAGTTGAGACCGCGCGGCCACTTGCTCTCATGGGAATGCTCCATTAGCTCGTCCATCAAATGAGGAGGGCAGCCAGACTCCGTCAAAGACAGACGCACCGAAGCCTATAAGTAGATTTTGTAAGGATTAAATCACGTAGAGAGCTTACTTAGTTAATGAAGTCTAGAACCTGCAGGTTAAGTTCAATGTTTTCCTCCAAAGTTCATGGTCAGTTAGTTAAATTGAGAGCAATTTAGAAATTTTAAATTTTTGCAGGCTGACTTCGGAATTCCGCTTCACTACAAAAATTAATTTTACCATAAATGAAACCAATAAAAAAATATAATAAAAAAAAAAAATCAAGAAAGAATAATCTAATCAACTAGCCAGTGAAGGAGTTTCAAATAATTTGAGTAGTATAAAAATTAATAAAGAAAAATATATATAATTTTAAGCTTGATATTTTTACCTGTAGCTCAGGGTCCGGTGTGGAAATGATTCCACCCCAGCGGAGGATGCGAGCTCTGGTCAGAGAGTTTGACCATCGCACAACGTCGTCCCGCTCCATCTGCTCGGCAAGCGCCTTCATGGCCGGATTGCAACTCCGCATGGCCCTCATGAAGTCCTTCAACAGCTGCAGTTCGCGCTTCTGCTCGTTGATCTGGAACTTCTGCTCAGCGATGGCCTGCTGGAACTCGCCAATCTTCTGCGCCTGCGAGTGGATCAGCGACCGCAGCTCCTTGACGCAGTTGTGGTCCTTGATCTCGTCCTTCGGGATGACAAGGCCGCATCCCTGTTTGCACGAGACGGGCCTGGTCGGGTTGTGCTCGCATTCGGCCAGGTGGATGGACAACGCGTCCAGCTTCACCTCCACGGTGCATCCGTAACGATTGTTGTCACAGGCAATCACCAGCCTAAAAAGTTGAAAATGTAACAAGAGTTTTTACAGGAAAATATAAAACAATAAATGCTTCATATAACAGTAGAAAGATTTTAACAATGGTTAAAAAGGAAAAATGATAATATAAAAAACAAAAAATGAGAAAAAATTGTTCTGAAAAATAATAAATTTTTATTGTTTTAGTCGTTTTACTTTGCATTTATAGCTTCAACCAATTTGAAAATAATATATTGAAAAAAAATATGAAAACAACCTGCAGAGCAAGTTCCTCAGAATCCTAGGTACAGGCCTGAGGTCGCCGACTGTGATTTGCATACGGTCGACCGGACAGGTTGGTTGCCGATTGATCCACTCTTTGATGCATCGGCTGCAAAAGGTGTGCTCGCACATAGGCACCTGCAATTAGCAGAATAACTTGTACATAAACCTGTTTTGAAGTGTTGGAAAAAAATAAAGAGCTGCGACAGCTGCGTACCTGCAAGGGTTCTTCGAGCACCCCCGAGCAGATGGGACAGATGAGCTCCTCGTCGACATCGCCGCGGAACCTGACTACGTCGTAGCCCATCTCCTGCCTGGCTGCGAGAAAAACGCCCGAGTCAGGGTGCTGCCCTGCCGAACAAAACATGCATTTTAATTTTCATGTTGCTGGGCCACTTTTTATAAGAGCGTGGATTCGGCGAATTGATGTACTCACGTCGACGACCGAAGCCGTTCAGATCATGGGCGCGGGTCGGGCACGTCCTGAAGCCCGAGCGCTCGCGTGACCTCGAAAGGGTGGCAGAAAAAAAGTGGCTTGACAAGGCAGCCCTTGACAATGGCGTCTTCCTTTCCAGACCTTCCTCCCAAGCAAGAAGATAAGTTCGAAGGAGAAGGTGTATCAAAAACAACGGCTGTGTTTGTAGTCTCGCAACTGCAAAAATTTTTCGGAAAACATGTGTTCTATAAACTAGCAATTCGTGACGTTTCAGCGCTGCGGAAAGGAGCAAACTTCCAGCAACAACAGTAAAGGGAAAAAACTGTAACAAGAAGTAGAAGAGACGCGAAGAGGAGTAGCCTCTTCTTGTTCCGACTGGTCCAGAGCCAATCAGCGCCCTGGTCACCTAAAAGGTAACCTCCTTTCCGCATCTCCTTTATCTTTTTCTACCACTTAAGTGCAGCGCAAAGCGGTGTAGAGGCACGACCAATTAAGACGGAGCTTAGCTTATTTCATCTCCCATGACCCCCTCACATTTTCATATATAAAAGCGCGGTACGCGCCCCCAAAACGCGCCCAGTCAGATTAATATTTTTGATTTAAAAAATATAATATATTATATATTAATTATTGGTTTATTTATCTCGGTCCATTAAATTATTGAAACATATTCAAAATGCAACAATTAAAATACTTCCAATGGAAGACTGGCTGATAAAGCATAATTGCGATAATTGCGTTTTATTTGACACTGCTTTATTATTATTATTTTTTTTTTAATAAAGTATAAAGTGTAAAATTTTAATCAGCCTTCTTAACTATTTGCCAAATAGATTTCGTATCACCGTGGATTTTTTTGCTGTGTTTCAGCAGGCTCAGTTAGGATGAACTGAATGCTTTAGGCTGCCGTCGGACCCTGTCGATGAAATAAATTTCAATTTAATTAGTGCAAGGCAACAAGGTGCAAGGTGGGCGCGGGTGGGCGCACCCAACACCTTTTGAAGAAACTCCTTGAAACCTTTTGAGAGAAGAGTTCAAGCCAAGGAGGTTCAAGCAACGTCCCAGCTGGAATAGCGGGCGGCGGGCTTTGCTGTTTTGTTGACGTTCAGTTCAGTCAAGTTCAGTGTTCAGTTCAGTTCCTCGAAAATACTGCAAGAAGCCAAAGGCTGCGTAAATATGGAGAGTCTGCAGGAAGTTATTGATGAATCGCTGCAAAAATACATCCTCCACATCAGCAGAGTTGTGGGCAAGTTGGACCAGAGTGGTCTTACAGGTTTGCTTATAAAATTAAATTTTAATATTTTCCATTTATGTAATGTACATATGTATACTTCATTTTAGCCTTAATTGTGTACATACACAAGTGTTCAAAAATTGCATTTTTTTTTTTTTAATCTCAGGCATGTAATGAATTTTTGTACTAATTTGGTCTTATTTATTTTTAATATTTAGACGAGGAGAAAGGACACTTTCTTGAGAAATGCCAGGATGTTATTGGCGAGTGCTGCACTTTGGATCTTGATCACAAACGCAATTTGGAGCTGTTGAAAGAGGCAGAGAACGTCTTCGCAGATGAAAGCAACACAAAGACTCCTGACGAGGTTTGTTAATATTAAAAAGGAATCGAAAGGAATCATCTTTTTCATTTGTGATTTTTCTCAAAAGATTTTTGAAGAGCTGAAAAAACAGAAGAAGAACAAAAAGAAAGATGAAGCCTTCAATGATCATGAAATCTACAAGAGTGTCATTGAAATCGTCAAGGAGGCCAGGGAGAAAGGTTCGAACGATTCATAAATATGAAAATAGTTAGTTCATAAATAAATTAATTCTTGAAGCTGGTTTGGATGAAGAGGAGATGGATCAGACTGAGGCCGGAGAAGATGGACTGCTTGTGTCCGAATTCCAAGTCAGCACTGTCTGTCCCATCAGCAGGAAGAAAATGACTGACCCATACAAATCGAAGGCGTGCAAACACACTTTTGACAAAGAGTCCATCCTTGCTCTCTTAAAGAACAAAACAAACATTAGGTAGAAAATTAAAAAAATTAAATTTTGTTTTTGGGCTCTTGCTTATCTTCCATTAAATTTTAGGTGTCCAATTGGTGGCTGTGGACACTTGGTTGGCAAAGAAGACTTGGTGATTGATTACCAGATGCGGCGCCACATCGACCGCTTGGACAGTCAGTAAAGCAACGGATTTGCGATGTGACAAATTTCAAGTGAGCCCTTTTATGTTTCATCAAACAATAAACGATTCTCTCAAGTGCAAGGGACAAAAACTTGAGAATTACGTATTTATAAGTTAAGAATCTGCAAAAGTGCGCCTAAATAAATTTTAAAATTTTGAGATATTTGCATTTCAATATAGTTGCTATGAAACTTTTACCATTTATATGATTTACGCAATGAATTTTGGTAAAGGGACTTATATAATCAAAATTAGTTTTATATTGGGCCACAATATTGAGTTGAATATATTACACAACTATTGATTATTCTCAATTTTTCATTGCTTAAATTTTCTTACTTAAACAAAATTATAAATTTTATTCAAATTTTGCAATATTGTTGTTGATCCAGTCAACGTAGTAAGCAACCTCTGTGTAGACCCCAGGGTAGGGAGCAATAGTGCAAGGTTTGACAGACCACGACACAATTCCGACCTGCTGGCCGTTAACAAAAAGGGGGCCACCAGAGTCTCCCTATAATTTAAAAGATAGTGCTGTAATTAAATGAATTACATGAAACTTTTCTTACGCTGCACTGTCCTTTGCCACCTTCGGGCACTCCCGCGCAGATGTTGGAAGGGTGAGGGTCACCACCATGGATAGCTTCGCACTCGGCGTCGCCAACAACAAAAATGTCCACTTCTTGCAAAAATTGCATAACGCTTCCACCAGACTGTCAATTAAAAAAATTAAAAAAGAGTTGATGGACATAAAAATTTATTAAACCTCAGGGTATCCCCATCCAATGACGGTCGCCGTTGCACCGCCATCAGTGACCTGACCCTGATTGACTAGCGAAACGGGCTGGACATTGGGTCCCAAAACCAAGGGATCGAGAAGCTAAAATTTTATTTATTTTGAAAATTTAAACTAGAATTAATTTTACTCAAAAGTTTAAAACTAACCCTGACAAGAGCGATGTCATTGATGTACATGTTATTGGGATCATAATCCTTGTGGATAATAAATTGGGCAGTATCCACTAATTGACCATTGCCTTGGAGATCAACATCACCAGCGTAAACATAGTAAAGGGTATAGTCCTCACTTGAACCAACCCCGAATCAATATAATGGATTTTATTTTTTTTTCCAATGTTACCCATCAACACAATGAGCGGCTGTCAAAACCCATCTTTCGTTGATAATGCTTCCTCCGCAACTGTGTGAACCAAGCCACTGCAGTGAAATCTAGATGAAAAGATTTATTTAATTAGAAGTATTAGAAAAATAAATACAATAAATTTGCACCTGGGATGGATATTTGCCTAAAGGCGCGTCGGTACCATTCACAATTCTATGATCACCAACATTCAATTCAAAATTCCTTGGCAGGGCTGATTTAAATTAAAAATTTCAAACACAAATTTGCACTGTTGAAACAATTTTACCCAACGTGGCGGCTGCCAGTGCCAAGAAGCAAACTGCCAAGCGGATCATTATCAAATGGTACTTAACAACGGTCCCTGTGGGTTTTTTATATACAAGTAATTTTATTATCTCTGGTATCATGATAGATCACAATCTTACAATCAAATTTAATTAAGTGTTTTTTTATACATAACCTCAATTCTGCACTTTGCATTCTACGCACTATATCAAAGTTTGTTAATTTCCAATAAATAAATTAAAAATTTGAAAAATAATTATAATAATGGTGAAATTATAAATTTATAATTCAATGCCGTCTGGAAATTCAAATGCGGAATTAATTTTAAATCAAAAGCAAAAAGTACATTAGGTTAAAACTTATATTTTTGGAAAGATTTGTTGCTTTATCTTAATTTTTGAATGATTAAGTATATGCATCACCTGAGATGGGTGTATTACCCAAAGGAGCGTAGCCTTGGTACCATTTGCTATACTGTTAGCTCTATATGATAATTGTTCCCAAGTTCCTTGGAAACGCTTAATCAGATTATAAACTTCATCTTAAAAATTGAATTATTATAATTAAAAAATATCCTACGACTAGACAGCTGCCAAAGCCAAGAAGCAGAGATTGCTGTGCAGATCATGGTGCAAAATGGGTTTTAAGTGTTTTGATTACTCAACAAAAATAATTTTATCTTTATAAACTTGAAATAATATTGAACTTTGATTTTTATAGAAAAGAATCTTTAACACTATTGATTCATCTGTTGTTTCAAGTTTGTTTTAACATTAAAAAAAAGATAATTATGTAGTATATTATATCAGATATGGCAAACTTTCAATGATAACTGCGATTTGAGCTGGCGGGACAGTATTATCACAAGGTAAAATAATAATGGTTTTCATTATTCGGAGATTTTTATTTTCTTTATCCGCTGCATTTATAACTAATTACAAAAACCTTTCTCATCAGTTTATCATAAATATTATCATATTATTTTATTATGCGGAAATTTTGGCGTTGATCCAGTCAACGTAGTAAGAAACCTCTGTGTAAACTCCAGGGTAGGGAGGAACAGTGCAAGGTTTGACAGACCAGGAAACAATTCCAACCTGTTGGCCGTTGACGAACAAGGGGCCGCCAGAGTCTCCCTATATAATAAAAAAGATCAATGTAATTTAATTGGGAGACAAATTTAAACTTTTCTTACGCTGCACTGTCCCTTGCCACCTTCAGGCACTCCGGCGCAGATGTTGGAAGGGTGAGGGTCTCCGTTGTGGATAGCATCGCACTCAACGTCACCAACTACGAAAATGTCCACTTCTTGCAAGAATTGCATCACATTACCACCTGACTGTTAATTAACAAAAATTGGTCATGGCGTCCATCGCTAGTTTATTAATTCAAAATACATATGGGTATCCCCATCCAATGACGGTGGCATCTGAGCCGCCAGCAGTGTCTTGATCCTGAGCTGGCAGTGTTACGGGCTGAACATTAGGTCCCAAAACGAAGGGGGTTGAAAGCTAAAATTTTCAATTGTGTAAAATTTATCACAATTTTTTCATGCTCTATTTTGATATCTTACCCTGACAAGAGCGATGTCATTGATGTACATGTTGTTTGGATTGTAGCCCTCGTGAGGAACAAACTCTGCAACATTGTGGGTCTGACCATTTCCATTAAGATCAACATCTCCCCCGTAAACGGTATAAAATGCTGGAATGGAACTTATCAGCAGTCAATTTAGCTTTTTTCACAATTTTATTATTTTGTTATATTACCCATCAACACAATGAGCGGCAGTCAAAATCCAGTTTTCATTAATAATGCTGCCTCCGCAACTGTGTGAGCCAAAGGATTGCAGCGAAATCTAACATGGGGAAGATTTTTCTTTTTAATTTTTCCGCTCAAATTTTTGACGCTCACCTGGGATGGATATTTTCCCAAAGGAGCGTCGGTACCATTCACAATCCTATGATCTCCAACGTTCACTTCAAAGTTCCTTGGCAATGCTATAGATTAAATACAAAATTAAGAACTGACAATTGCAAAGATTCAAATTCTTACCCAATGCGGTGGCCGCCAGGGCCAAGAAGCAGACTGCGGAGCGGATCATGGTGAAACGATACTGAATTATGGATGTACCCTGATCATATTTATATACAAGAACATGTCATATTATTTTATCTTTGATTTGTTGACTATGTTGGCAGATCAATCTCAAGTGCATGCGCGATTTGATGGACAAACCCAATTTGCGCCTTGTGTCGTTTTTTTCTTTTGTCACCACTACTGATAAATATTTCTTTTAGAAGTTTATATCTTTAAAAGATAGATTACAAATTTGCAACCTAATATATATTATCTACATATTCACAAAAAGATGATCGTTTAAAATTAAAATTTGAGCCATACTTAGCATTCAAGAAAATCTTTCCTTTTTCTAAGAATCTAAATGGCACAGGAACATTTGCAAGGTTGTTCATATTAAATAGGTATTTTAATTTCGTTCAGTTGCATTTTGTAATTAATAAGAAGTGTCAAGGTCCGCAACAGACATAAACGTGCTCTGATTTGATTATCGAGTATTTCTCAATAGACACAAGATAAGGTGACACGAGCAAAATCCCAGTCACGTGCAAGTGAAAAATACATAAAGAATCTTTTAAAAATCCAGTCTGCTTATGTAGGTACACCAGATAAAGATGACATTCAAAAGCCATTGTCACTTCTGTTCTTATAAATTTAATCTTAAATACACCAAAGTCATTTAGAAGCCTATCCAAAAAAGATCCCCTCTTTGTTGAAAGCCAGGAGAAGTCTAAAAATTTAATAATGAGACAAAAAATTAATCTTTAGAATTAAATTCTTACTGCATAAAGTCATCAATGTCCATAGTGCGGGCTCGTTTTTCAGAGAATCCACTACTTTTCAAAATGTCTTCAATTTTTTGTTTCATGTCAAAGTCTTTGGGCACCTCCTGAAATTTAAAATAAATATTAAGACATTAATCATGATTTAAAGAATGAGGCTAAATTTTACCTTATCATTGTGTGAGCAGTAGGTTAGGTAATTTTTATTTAGTGTGTCAAGTACAGATGACTGCTTAAATAGGGCACTCAGGGTTTTATTTTTTCTAACAAATGCAATTCTAGTGAGGCCGTCCCATTGCTTGAAATTAATGGGCGGAGGAGGATTTCGGGGCTCTAATCGCACAACGCTGCTTTCCACCTTTGGTGGCGGACGGAAATTATTTTTCCCGACCTAAAAGAATAGAAATAATTTTTAAAGTAATGGAGATTAAAAAAAATACCTTCATAATGATATTGACTTTGGCAAGAAGCTGAGTATTTATGGACAGTCTGCAGTACAACTTGTCTCCGGGTTGTGCAACTAGTCGCTGTGCGAACTCAAGTTGGACCATCAGAACAGCACACCTGAAGAAGGGTCGGTGCAGGAGCAGCTTAAAAATCAACGGCGACGAGATTTGATAGGGGATGTTGGCAACACACAGGTCAAAAAAGGGCAACTCTGCTTTTATTACGTCGCCGACTTTGATTTCCAACTTTTGCTGAAGAGGAGTGCACTGAACTCGCTTCTGCAGTTCAGCCACAAGCCTAAAATGGAGACAAAAATAAAATGACTGAATCTTTAATTAAATGACCACAAACCGAACGTCAATTTCACAAGCAATCACTTTGCGAGCTTTCTCCAAGAGCTTCACCGTCATGTTTCCTGTGCCTGGACCAATTTCAAGGACAGTGTCTGTTTGTCGAATGTCCGCCTTTTCCAGCATGCTGACGATGACCAAGGGATTCTTCAAAATATGCTGGCCAAGGTCCTTGTTGAACATAATTCCTGCGATCAAATAAAATTGATCATTAAGTTGTATTAAATAAAATTGTGCATGAGAGTGAACATAATATATGTAAATTATAAATATAACATTTTGGTTCTCTGGGCTCTGTTAGAATTGTGTAATGAACAAACCTTGCTTGGCAACGGAATCATGTTTTCGGCTCTTCTTTTCTGCTTTGATCTTCGGCATTTTTCAAGTTATTGTCTGCCTCAGTTCTTAAATTTGTAATTCAAATACAAAACTGATGGAGACCCACGTGGATTTTGCTTGCTGTGTTGATGTTTACAATAAAAATAAATAAAAAGGTCGAAAGGGGCGGGGCTTCCGGGCAGCTGCTGCCTCCTGTGGGGGTGTATCAAAATTCAATCGAGGAGAAAAGCTCGCTCGCCATATTTTGGACAACTCTGCGATGAAGTAATTTTTGGGCAAAAGGATAGGCTTTTAAGCCGCTCCAAACGTCAAATGACGCCAAATTCGTAACAAAAGAGACTTATCATCTGGTAAATACAAAGACTTGATGAAGTTTGCCCTGCACGCTTTACCAATGCCTTGCAAACTTTGCACTGATATCCTGCACGTACATACATTACATTTTAGGCTAATTTTTATTTTTGATTCAATATTGATTTTTCGCAACGTTTAAAGCTTCAGATCTATCCTATTTTTGTCATTTTCTTTTTTTTTTTAGTCCACAAGATTATCATTCAATAATTTTCATAATTTTTATTTGACCGCGTCTTTTTTCTCTAAAACAAATATTTTACAATTCGTATTTTACTTTTCAAAAATTTTTTTCATTAAAATTTTCGTAGTGGGACAAAATAATTTTCAATATTTTGATTATGTATTAGAAAATTAATCGTACATTTATGTACATTAAAGAATTGTGCACAAATTTGTCGCAGAGTCCTTCGAAGAGAGTCGGAAACGGTGACTTGCGAATCTCGCCCAAATTATCCACAATGAGTAAGATATTTTTGTTCCCCTATCCTATTGAATGAATGTTTCTATTATAATGAAAATTAAGTTTTTTTTCAAAAACATTAAACAAAGCACTTTGAATCAGCTTGGAATAATTAAATCATATTCTTATAAAAATATGTATTGTAATTTTTAAATTTAATTTAATTACTTTAGATGGACCTCCCTCGGCGCCTATGATGAATGCTATGGGAATGTTGGCTCCAGTGGCCCCACAACCAGGTATGTATCGTTGCAAGTAATCAATACCCCATTTGATTTAATTAAATCTCTTGCAGGTCTCTTGGGGAACCAGCCGCTGCCCACACTGGTGAATCCAGCTACTAATGACGCCCCTCTGGAGTTCAACAAAGCCAAAGCAGGTCTTGCGTTGCAAGGTAAAAAAGAAAGAAAAATAATAATTCTGAACTAGAAATTGATTTTCCTTGTATTTCGTTTCAACAGGAGAATCAGACGATCGTCGAGCTCGTCGCAGCGGCCAACCCCCGCTAACCATAGCCCCCACTGCAGCCCAGCAACAATCTCCAGTGTGGGCGCCTGGGGGCATGATGGGCATGAGCTACCCCCCGACCATCATGGGGATGATGCCAATGACTGACCCTGCTGGAATGATGGGCATGGGTCAATCGTTGCCGCAGCCATTGCCTCAAGCTGGGGAAGGTGACGAGTGTGGCCCGCAGTGGGGAATGCCGCAGTACCCTGTGATGGGAGGCATGATCCCTCCTGCTAGTGAGGGTGGGGTTTTGCCGGGAGGCGTCGTCAAAGAGATAATCCACTGCAAAAGCTGCACCTTGTTTCCTCCGAATCCCAACGTGCCGCCACCTACGACCAGAGAAATTCCTCCTGGGTGTCGGACTGTTTTTGTTGGAGGTCTCCCTGAAAATGTTACTGGTAAGTTAAACAAAACAAACTAGATTCATGCAGTGGGCTAAATTTATGAATATTGCAGAGGAGATTATTAGAGAAGTCTTTGAGCGTTGCGGTGAAATCACCACAATTAGAGTCAGCAAGAAGAATTTTTGCCATATTAGATTTGAGCGTGAGCAGTATGTAGACAGAGCCATATACCTATCAGGTATGAAAAGCATAACTCTAGTTTATAGTTAATTGAGCAGAGTAAAATTTAGAAAAATAATTTAATTGTTTAATATAGTTAAAAAATTGCTTACCTTGTACTCAAATTAAAGAAGAAACAAATCCGCAGGTTACCGAATTAGAATAGGAAATCACACCGACCCACCCAACACTGGACGTTTGCATGTCGACTACGCGCAAGCGAGAGACGATCTTTATGAATGGGAGTGCAGACAGAGGCAATTGCAGAGAGAAGCTCGACACCGGGAGAGACTTGAACAAGAGCGGATGCGACCACCATCTCCACCTCCAGTGGTCCACTATACGGAGCATGAGTCTCAAGTCATAGCTGACAAACTGAAGGGAGAAGAATCTTTCGCAAAGGCTGTGCAGGTATTAAGCGTTTTCATTTAATCTGTTTGTTTGAAAATGTCAATATTTTTGTAATTTATAATTAAGTGAAAAAAGTCACTTTTCTCTCTCTCCAATTTTCACAAAGTCAATATTCTAAAAAGTAAAAACTATACATTATTTTTAATTAAATATTTTCAAAATTCTTTCTTCAGGTTGTGGTGACTTGGTTGGAACGTGGAGACTGCTGCAAAAGGAACTCGAACCAGTTCTACTCGATGATCCAGTCAAGCAACTCGCATGTCCGACGGCTGCTGACAGAGAAGATGCAGTACGAGGATGAGCTGAATCGAGCCAAAGAACTCACAAAACAGAGAATGCAAGGCCTACTGATGCAGTGTGAGTACCATTTGCTGTCACTTCTCTTTATCTGGACCACTCTCAAAGCAAAACACAGCACTACGGGGCTGCATTTAGAGTCTCTTTCAAAATCCCTCTTAAGGTTGGCTGCCCTTTTCAAGCCCAAATCTTTGTCCAAATAACATCCAATCTCAGAAAAAAAACCAGAGTCGCAGATAGTGTGGACGGTAAGCTGGGAGCGCCCGGGTTTGCAACTCAGACGGTTCTAATGGACATTCAAATTTAAAATTAAAAAATCTTGACCGTCCTTATTTGCAAACCCGTGCCTGGGGTAAAGGGCCCATCACCACCATTAAACTAAGCGAAATACCAAAATGAACGGTGCTTGTGTTTCCATCCAAGTCGGTCAGATCGAGCGAGTATTCGCGGCGGCCAGTCACCAGAAGGTTTGGGACCATTTCACCAAGGCCCAACGCAAGAACATTAGCATGTGGAAGAAACAGGCAGGGGTATGTAAATCCAGCCTCCATCTCTCATTCCATTGGCACACTCCTTGGCTAGCACAACGATGACTAATTTTTATTCTGTCAACACTCACATAATTTTTAAACTCACACTGACTATATCTCTCTATTTTAATTAATTCACTCACACCACCTATACATACTACTATTTTAAAACATAATTATTTACCATTGTGCCTTGTGTTTTTGTACGACTAGTTGTGTTAACCAAGTCTCAGAGTTGATCATGCCTTCTTCTTGTAAACTAGGCTAGAGTTGTTTTGAAAGGTTTGATTTTAAAGATAATTGTGAATTGAGCTACTCTCTCAGGTAAGTGCCTCGGCAGCACACAACTCAGGTGGGTACCGCGACAGTCTGTAGTGAGAGCATGTCCACAAGTGTCCCTCTAGCTGGGGATGGGATCACTTCCCAACTGGATTCGCCTCTACTCGGACAGTTGAATTCCCAAATTCTCTCGAGAGCGCAAAATTGCCGATTTAAAAATCAGATTTAGCTGCTGAGTATGAATTCAGTTCCCTTGCCCATCCCTGCAAACTTGTCAAGTTCGAAAGGTGACATTGGCTTTTGTCCGACAGGAAATCAGAAGCATGCAGTTGGAGGAGGCTGTAAACGAGAGGGCTGATGAGGAAATGGACGTCTCTGACTCGGAAGATGACGACGACGACCAGGATGACATTGTTGTCCTCAGCAGCACCATGAGTAGCAGGAAAAAGCCAAGGCTAGACGAGGTGGCTTGTCTCAAGGAGGAGAACGACAACCTCAAGTGCCAACTCGAGGCGTACAAGAACGAGGTGGATCTCATTAGGGCCGATCTCAAGTGCGACAACGAACAGCGCGACGCCCAATACAAACTCTTACAGCAAACGCTGCAAAACACTCAACAGGTATTTCCTTATTTATTATCATATATTTTTTTTTAATTTCTTATGAAAATTCAATTTTTAGCAATTGCTGGATGCGACGAGAAAACTGACTGACAAGGAAAAGATAATTAAAGACCTGGAGATGAAGTCACCTCTCAATTTTGAACTTAAGTCATCTGGCGACAGTGTCAAGGGTGACTCGAGTATCGGACAGCTTTCTCCAGAGGTGGATAGTGAGACTGCTTCATCATCAGGCCATGATCCCAAACTCCCAAGCATTAGCTCCAGCGATGCCAAACTAATTGGTAGCATTATTGAAAATTATATTATAAAATTTGATTTTAATTTTGCATTTCCTTCCAGGATTAATATCCATGTTCCTCCATGTTCACCCCTTTGGTGCTGGCATTGATTACATCTGGTCTTACTTGCAAAAGGTGGAACCTAATTTAAGAACGTCTGAGGTAGAGGCGCTTATGAACCGATTTCCGTCGGTTTTCAAACAAGAGCTCTCTGGAATTGGTGCCAACATGGAGCGCAAGTGGATTTTTGCTGGCTTTTGCCGATCCGACTGATAGGAGATATGTGATTGGATAAATCCAGTCACTTCTTAGTCAATCTATTTTAAAATAATTCATCTCTCTGGTACCCATCGTGCCATCAGTGAAAGACATTTTCAACAAAGTTATACACTAAACCTAAGTTTTTGTGATTAAAAAAAATGTCTTATAATTCTTTCTCTACCTTCTTGCTATGCAGTTGTAGGTCCTAAAAATTGGCCTAGCATGTCAAAACAGAGTGATGATCTTTAAATATATATTAATCATTTCAGTTACCATAGCTTTATATTATGAAGCTCGCCTGTTAACGAATTATATTTGTGTTTGTGTGAAGGATGAAATAAAATTTTGTCTGTGAAATAAATTGTTTTTCTTATTTTCTGATAAAAAAAAATAGAGAAGTTAGACATAAACCAATTTTAATGGGATGAAGCCGAGGATCTTTTATTTAAATAAATGAAAGATCCTTGGATGAAGCTTAAGTTAAAATTTTGATATTATTATTTTTTTTTTCATTTTTGAAATTTTACTTTTGTACTTGATTATTGAGAAAAAAATATCCGCCATGGGTCTAAAATTCTCAAAAACGTACTTAATTTTTAGCAATTTAAATTGTTATTGAAAGCATTATTACGTCGTTACATGCTTTCCTCCCGCCAGCGTTTCAAATGCTCCCCACCAGGCTCACTTTTCGCGGGAAGCAGCTGAGGCTAGATGCAAGAAAACACAGGGGACAGTCCTTCCTTGTTCCTTGACGATTTAAAAAGTCCAGAAATAAGTTCTCGACCAAACTTCAAAGTAATTTATGTAAAATTTAAACCATGGACGACTGCAAGAACAAATACCAAAAGTACAAGCAGATGGTAAAACAGTGGGAGGACGAATTCATGAAACAAAATGACAGAATTCCGACAAAGGTTTATTTTATTATTTTTTGTTTATTCTTTTGTAAAATACGTAAAATATTTTATTTTATTTTAGGAGGATATTAAGAATGCGAGTAATGACGTTCGATATGCTTACAAAAGCTACCACAACCTGAAGAGAGAACTTTCGACAAAAGAGAACAGTGGCTTGACATCGACGAAGGATGAAATCCTCTTGTCTGTTCAGAATTCTTTGACATCTCTATTTTCGGACGAAACAGCTTCCCCACCGGATGAAAAGTCAAAGGAGGCATCAGTTGTTGAAAGCAATGGCAAAGAATCAAAGAAGAAGGAAATCCTGCCCGTTTTCAATAGCAGCGGAAAATTGTCTGAACTCACAGCTCGCATGGATGCTATGAAACAACAAATAAAAAGGACAAGAAGCTCTGGCAGTGTAGCTGAAGGGTCACCAAATGTGGTGATGAACGTTGACCAGGTGTGGGGAGAGCACCTTAAGGGCTCTGGGGGTGTTCGTAAATTCCAAGAAAGAACGGCTTCGTTCCAAATTTCTGAGAAACTTTACTCTAGTGCCACTTTCAAGAGTAAAAGAAATCCGCTGAAGCCACACACACCTTTGCGTAGAACCAAGTCAGCTGTATTCAGTGATTTTCTTCAATCTCGACTGGCAAAGAGGAGTATAGATGAAAGTTCAACGACTGGAACCCAGCAATCCGAGGAGACTAGCACAGCTAATGAGGAAAAGCAAGAAGATTGGGACAAGACTGAAACGCCAAATCTGACACAAGAGGAACCAATGGAGATAGCAGCCTCATCGCAAGACAGCTCAGTCTCTTTGGATATTTTTTCGACCAAATGCAAATTGAAAGTGAAGGACACTTGTAATTCTGCTAACACTTCAAAGGGGAATGGTCACAGTAAATTTTCTTCCAACATTGATGAGAAATGGCTAGACAGGTGTGTGAAGCCAAGAACGACATCCCAAAGTTCCCAAGGGTCATATCAGTCTGCAGCAATCAATTCTCAGAGCTCTGTGATCTTGCACATGGACAACTGCAACATAGACAGCCAAAATTCATTGGTTTGTATTTAGAGCGCTACAAAATCATATTTCAATGAAATAATATAATTTTTTAAATCTTACAATTAGAGTTCTCAGATGGACATAGGAGGTTCTGACGATGATGCTATAATCAGCAATTCAGACACAGAGGAGCCTTCAAAAGTCAGCATGGTAATGAAAAGAAAGGCTCCTGAAGAAAATGCAGCTGAGGTTGCTTACAAGAAAACAAAACTCAGTAAAAAGGAAGTTCTGGAAAAGAAAATTGCTGATGGGAAACTAAATGAAAATTTTGTAAAAGTTAATCTGAAGAAACGTGTTTTTGTGAGAGGAAAGAAAAACACAAATTTTTCCAAGTACAAGAAGATGATGTATAAGAGGAAGCAGATGGACAATGACGGCGGTGGTGGGGCTGCCAAGAAAGGAAATTGTTTTACCTGTGGAATGGTTAAAAAAATCATGTTCTCTAAAATGATAATATAAACCTTTTTTTAGGCTGGTCACTGGGCCACAAATTGCCCTCAAAACGGCGGACTCATCTCTGCGGAAGAAGCAGCACTTATTGACGACAGTCCGTACCTGACACTGGAGGAGGCTGATGCTCTTGCGAGTGAAAACAGACCAATTCCTAGGTAAATATTAAAGATTTCTTCAAATTATCACTTAAAAACTTCCATCTAAATCCAGATTTTCTCTTGAGCCAACTGAAGAAGTTTTGAAGCCAATCATCGAGCCATTATACAAACTTGATAATGGAAAAATACCTAAAACACCCAAAGAAGTTAAAAAAGCTCTAAAAGATTTTGGCTACGACTCATTCAGACCAGGCCAAGAAGAAACAATCATGAGAATTTTGTGTGGACAGTCGAGTTTGGTGATGCTTTCCACTGGTGCTGGAAAGAGTCTTTGTTACCAACTGCCTGCCTATCTGTACAACCAGAAAAAAGGGCCGTGCATTGCTCTTGTTGTGTCGCCATTGGTTTCCTTGATGGATGATCAGGTATTTCTTTGACCCTATTTACAAATTTAATTACAGTTTACCTACTTTTGTTAATTAAAAATTGATTAGGTGAACAACATGCCTGGGCCACTTAACGGTGCCTGCCTGCACACAAACATGACTCCGAAGCAAAAGGTGCAAGTGGAGCAGCAGCTGAAAGACGGAGAGCTCCATGTCTTGCTGGTTTCCCCTGAAGCCATCATCAATAGTGACCGACAGGGTTTGGGCGGACTACTGAGCCTGTTGCCACCTGTGAGCTTTGCATGTGTGGACGAGGCCCATTGCGTCTCCCAGTGGTCGCACAACTTCCGTCCCTCGTATCTCATGCTCTGCAAAGTGCTGAGGGAAAAACTGAAAATCCGCACCCTTCTTGGTCTGACGGCCACAGCCACAAAGTCTACTGCAGAAAGTATTGCGAAGAATCTCGGCGTTGCAGACGGCAGGATCATCGCTGATTTGCCTATGCCCTCCAATTTGGTGCTTTCTGTGTCAAGAGATGTACACAGGGATGCTGCTTTGCTGGAACTGCTCAAGGGGGAGAGATTTAGTGCCTGCGACTCGATCATCATTTATTGCATCAGGAGAGAGGAATGTGATCGAATCGCTGCAACGTTGAGGACATGCCTTCAAGTAAGATGGATTAAGAAACAGGAATAATGCTTTAAATTTTATTTAATTTGATGACAGGATTCAAAAAAACATGAGAGCAATAAAAGAGGTGCCATTTCTTGGAATGCTGAGGTCTACCATGCTGGTTTGACGCCTCATCGTAGGAAGCAAGTTCAGAATGCTTTCATGAATGGTATTTTCGGTGAAAAATTTCTAAAAATTTTTATGTAATAAAAATTTCCTTAGGAAAACTCCGAATTGTGGTTGCAACAGTTGCCTTTGGAATGGGTATCAACAAGAATGACCTGCGAGCTGTAATCCATTATAACATGCCAGCTTCGTTTGAACGATTTGTCCAAGAGGTGGGCCGAGCTGGTAGAGATGGTGAAGAGGCCCATTGCCACTTGTTTTTGGAATCACAAGGTCGTGATTTGAGTGAGTTGCGGAGACACATTTACTCTGATTCGGTGGATAGACATACAGTGCGAAAACTGCTGCACCGAGTTTTCAAACCTTGCAAGTAAGAAAGAATTTATTTTATTGAAATTAATGAAAAAAAAAAATTTATAAAAAATTTATTTTAGATGCTCAAATGTAAAAGCTTTGGAGGATTGGCAGCCTGAAAGTTCGCCGCCTCCTGAAAGCCACAGGATCCTTGTGAAGGAAACTCCTGAGAAAAATCCCCCTCAGGCGAGTCCGGTAAAGTGTCCTGGACACGAAGTGGCCTTTTCAACGGACGAGGCTATTCAGGCTCTGGACATGCCTGAAGAAAACATTCAGACCCTATTGTGCTACCTGGAGCAGTGGGTTGAAGTTTTAAGTCCAGCCTACACAACCTGCAAAGTGATTAGCTACGGCGGACCTGGTGCATTAAAAGCAGCGGCTAAAACGGTGAGATTGTTGAATAAATATTTGCTACAGATATTTATTCTCCATTTATCATTTAAGTGTCCACCTTTGGCAATGGCAGTTGCCTTAGACCAAAAATCAGGGAAAAGTCATGAGAAGAGCACCTCGATCGAGTTCCCCGTCATTGATGTTGCTGCTGCGATTGGTTGGGAAAGTGGTCAGGTCAAAAGACAACTGAAGGAATTGGAGTGGAAAAAAGGTAAGCATGTTTCGTGGCTCTCCGAAAAAATTAACATAATTTTTATTTCAACAGTCAACGGGCAAAATAGAAGGACACAGTTGGTAGTCCAGCTTCTGCATCCAGGTTTGCGAGTGAAAGCAAAAGGCTCGCTGCCCCCGGAAGAACTGGACAGAGTTCTCGACTGGTTGTCTGAAAAAGTCGAGCGCCAGGAAAGATCAAAACTTTTACAATTAGAAGCACTTTTCACTGCACTTTCAAGGTTAATTTAAATTTTCAAAATCATCGAAGTATTTTACAGACTTAATAAATTTTTTAACTTTCAGTGTCTCGTCGGAAACCTATCAAGAATGTGTTAAAGAAGTAGACGAAGAAAAGTGCTTAAAACTGAAAGAAGCAGTCAAAAATTACTTTAACACTGATACTGCTGAGTTTGAAAATATGCAGCCAAAGTTACTTGTAATTTTAACATCAAACTTAAACTTGCTGTATTTAATAATTTTTTTGCATCATAGCCTGGTGTTGAAAATGAGGATCAAGTGAGGGCTGACGTTAGAGCTATGGTAGGAACTTTTTCTGACTCTAGCTTCACTGGTCGTGCCATTGCAAGGATTTTCCATGGTATCAGTAGTCCTTGCTTCCCTGCCCAGGTTTGGGGCAGGACAAGATTCTGGCGACTTCACCTTAACGACAACTTCCAAACTATTTGCAAAATAGCCTCACCGGAGATTTTGAAAGCAAAATAAGCATCATGCTTTGTTAATTTTTCTTCTTTCGTCTGTCAATAATCTTGCGTTATATTACTATTTCCTGATGGTTTCCTCAATTTTTTTGTGATAGAGCAGTTAAATAAGTATAGAAAAGAGTTAATTCAAAACCTTCTTCTGGTAAATTATTTAAAAATGTTTAAAAAAAGTTTTATTTGACCAAATATCCTATAATTATTAATATATTGGATATTGTAGAAAAATATTGACTTCAGACTTGCGAATAAAGTGCTTTCAGATTGAATAAATAATAAAAAAATTGATTAAATTTCATACTCTCCTAACTGTTAAAACCAAAACTTTACGAGGGAAAGTGAGCAATTCATTACTGTGCTTTTTTTAAAATTTTGCGACTTGCAGTTTTGCACCTGCGCTTCGCAGAAAGAGCATGGTGCGGTAATGAGCGCCTCTGGCGAGTAGACAAAGAAACTGCACAAATGTGCGGTGGAATGAGTCATATGTGAAGCTGTCAACGTGTTTTCTCACGAATTGGGGCAATTTCCGCCGAAAATTGCCCTCAGAGGGATGGAGGGCCCTAACCGGTGAGTAGCCTATATTCTGAGGATTACATTCCGCCCACAAAGCCGCCGAATCGGCCCTCTGGGTAAAGAGGACGCGGCCAAATTAGGGACAACAGGAGCGGGGACCGCTGGCACGGGCCGTCGTTTCTCGCGCGAGTGACATTTCCAGCAACGGTCTTTGAGGCCAACTGCCTAACGTCTCGTTTGCATAAATTCCTAACCGCCGAGTAGAAAAGATTCGATCAAGTCGAGTGCGTATATCTGGCAAAATTCGGCCAAGATTCGGGCTGTGGTGCATTTTGTAGCAGGTGCATTCCACCTGTCGTGTTGCACAATTGGTTTCTATTCATTGAATTGAATTGTTATTTTGGCTTGGAGAAGGTGGAGAGAGGGAAAAGGTGCAGTGCGATTACGAAACTGAAACCAGCAGCGAACACCAGTTTGACTAGTTCGTCAATTAACTATTATTAAATAACTTTCGCACCGGCAACTTATCTATGTAATTTGAACAAAACTAACACAAACAATCGGGGTTTTATTCCTAAGATTTTGAATTTTGACCAAAGGAGACTTCAATGCTCGCTTTAGTCAGGCGTTTGGAAGGAAGGACATTTGATTTAGCGAAGTCATCAGTAAATTTGCATATTAGTCAGTGCAAATCAGTCAAAGGATTTTCATATATGTAGGCACCAAAACTACAGAGTGGGTTAAATTTAATTAAAATTTTGAACTAAAAATTTATTTTTATTTAAATGACACTAACTTTTTCCAATTATTTCGCTTAATAAACCAAAAAAATTTTCGCCTAGCAAAAAAAGTTGATTTAATTAACATATTTTTTTAATTAATGTTCCAATTGTAAATCAAATTGCAGCAATTTCTAAATAAGATAAAATTTTCCAGTTTTCCTTGTCTCCTAATTGCAATTAAGCTGACTTGAGTTAAAGAAAAGTTTGCTCGCTAAATTGTGCATGTCAGTGAGCAAGCGAGAGCGGCGTTGCGTGATCGCAGCACCGAGAAAGAAAAGAGTGAATTGTTGGTCGGTCGGCCGCACTCGCAAAGTCGGTGGAATACAAAAGTCTCCCCGCGTGCATGTGCGTTCTCCAAAAGTTAAAATGCACATCACACAGACGACGAGACGCGACCGACCGACGACGGAAAAGTCACAAACAATGGGTCGGAGGAATTCCGGCAGCAATAACCAGCAACTTATTCTCCACGCCGATGAGAAAGGGAGGGTATAATAATTTTTTTATCTGGCTGTGAGATCAAAATATAAACATACCCTCGGCGTTTTGTGTTTTCCTAGGCTCGGAAATTAGTCACACCTGCGGCTCTATTATCGAAAAATCCGTCGAGTTTGTTCTGAAAAAAGAACGAGTCGGATTACATACATATTTTTTTTTATTCTGAGGCGGCCTTGAGTGATTTACTCCGGCGTGCTGCCTTCTCAGTTTCCAATGGGAAAAGTCAATCGGGTACATTCATTCGGAGGGCAACTGGTTTAACATGAAGCTTGGGAAAATTAAAAGGAACGAAAGCTTGAAAACCATGCAAAAGTAATTAAAATATTTGTACGTTTAACAAAGTATGTAATTAAATTGACAAGAATTGTAAGAAATAATTCTGTTAAAAGAGGAAACAATTTATTTTATTTATTGTATTAATCACTTAAAATAAGCTTAAGTGTCAAGTGAGTTTAAAAGCAATCAATAAAAAAATATTTTAATGAATTAAATTAAAATATGCAACTTATAGGAAAATATCTCAAATGTAAACAACTGAAATTCTAAACTAATTTGCCTGAATATTTTGCCGTCAGAGAGCAAAACAATGAGAATAACATTCATTGAATCAAATATGGAATTCAAGTGACTGGCAGGCAGGGGCGTTTGAAGGTTGCTTACTCCTTAACCGGTGCCCCCTTGGTGTGTACCAAATCAGGTAGTATGTATGTATCTGCAATTACATATTAAATTCGATGATTCATCTCTCACGTAGGAAATTTATAAGGTTTCAGCTCCTCATATGTAGCAAATGATACCAGTTTTCCACCACAATTTCTAAATTGAAGCATTTTTGATGTTTCAAAACAGTCAAATATGCCATTTTTATAAAGGAGTTAATTGTCTAAATTTGATTCAATTGTTTTTACAAAATTGTTCGCAAAAAAGTAGAATTGCTTGCGTCAAAAAATTATATGCCTTTGGTTGTACAAAACGGGTCTCTCAGAAAGATCAATTTGCACTCACAGAAAAATGTAGCACGGTCTTTAGCTGGGAGCGAGCATTCGATTATCTTTTCTTTTCTTTGATTTCAATTTCGGTGTTTGGTTTCAGTTGTGCGTATAGGTAACCCAAAAACGATAAAAATCCATGAAGGCGTTCAAATTCGTATACCGCGAGAAATCGTCAATACGCGACCGCAAGCGAGTCAGATTATTTATTTATTTTTCGGTCGGTCGGCGAATGGATACGGCACATTCACTAGAACTTACCTATTTTCATTATAAGTTTTTATTATGTTTCCTGCTGAAAAAATATGCTTATTTGCGTTTATTTTTAATTCAAAAGCAATACAACAAAGCAAACTGGTATTGGGTTTAAATTTAAATATATTTAAAAGAAATTTCAGAACTTGTTTTTAATTATATTTGAACCTTTTTATTTTGATTATTTATTAATTAAACGTTTCCTTATTTTCTAGCGTATTTTAATTTATCACAAAATTTATGATAATTAAAGCTGTAACAAACATTCCGAGCTTGCATTATTCACATTTAATTAAAAATCTAATTGCTTGCAATTACTTGAACATTTTTTCTCGACTATACTGTTATGTCAGGAATTGAAAGAGAAATTCATTAGACGCGTGTTGTACTGTACACATTAAGAATCAAATTAAAAAAGTTGCCGCACACACGGGTTTGCGGCGCACAATTGAATGTAGTCGGTTTTATTTTTCTCACAACGGAAAAAAAACCAAAACAAAGCAAACGGAAGAGATGGAGATCGCTCCGTTTTTTTACCTTGATTTTGTTGCCTCACTCTCTCGCTAAACGACCCGTCAGAGAAAAACAATACCAAAAGGAATTCGGTTCGACGCCGCTCGTTCGAGCATATTTTTTTCCAGCAGGGGTAAATGAACCTGGGCAATTATAAATCGCCATTTGATTAATTTCCCACGCACGGTGGCGAACGTTTTGCCGGCGCGATGAGCAGGCAAAGCGAGCACCAAATTTTCGCACACCTAATACGGATTTCATTTTCACGCTACTCGCGGCTGAGGAAGTGCCATAATAGGCCGTCAATTAGGTCGACAATGAGATGATCATGCTCGATAAAAAGCATTAAAAGCGGCGCCTTTGCTGCGGAAAGAGGGGAAGCAATAAATTGCAATAAAAATATGTGAGAAAAAACTTGATATGGCGCTTTCTTGAGACCGCGGATTAAGAAAGAAAGGTGATTTCTTGGGGGGTTTTCTGTTGCAATATTTTTCAAAAATGTTAAAAAAAACTTCATGATGTGAAGTTCTTTTTTTATATTCATTCAAATTATTTGATTTTTTCGTTTCTTTTCCAAACAATTGAGGCCTTTGACGTATTTTGAGAAAAGAAATTTGCTATTTTGTTTTTAATAAATAATATTAAATTTAACGTTATTTTTAACAAATTTTTTTTAGAAAAAAAACGTTTCTAGAAAATTATGAAGGTTTGGTAGAGGCGATTTGCTATGAAAAAAAGACCACATTTGTTTATTCAATATTTCGATTGCGGAATTTTCGCTTGATTTATTTGGACAAGAAACCTGATCAAGTAGTGCGGCAACCCGCGATCCTCTTCTATGCCGGCAAATATATTATCTTATGTGGCCCACCCGAGGCCTTGGGCGCGCATGGTGTGCGAAAACGAATCTCGCCCGGCGGCGTATCCGCGTGACGCTCGCAATCGACCTTCCGCCTCTTCTCTCTCACAGTGGAGAGAGAAACCGCGTTTTCGCTAACGGCCGCCGAAGGACGACGAAATTGGCGATCAAAACAACCCAATGATAATTTACGGGCCAGCGATTCGTTTGAATTTAATTCGACGCCTGCAGACGCGAATTAGTACTTTTCTCTCTCCGCATTAGAAGAAGTTTCGTTTGTTCGTGTTAATTAATGCGATGAACTGATTTATTAACCCGCTTTGCAAATGAAGGAAACTGATATCTGATCCGAATAGAAAAGTCTCCGCTATTGTTTGTAGACTGCAGGTTTTATCTGATCTTTTGACAGCACCGCGGTGTGTAAATTTGAAAAGATTCATGCGTGTTTATAGCGAATGGCACAGTTTTTATGGGAATTTTTTGGTGTATTATGTTGGAAAAAATTAATATCAAACACATTTCTTCACATTCAGCGGAGAAAAACGCTCAAATTCAAAGAATACTCTCCAGAATAAAAATAGGAACAATTTTTTTTATTAAAGTTAATTTCATATGTTAGGAAGAATTTTAAAATTTACAACCTTTTTTTTTGTTTTTCTTTTGAAGAAAACATAATCTTAAAATATATTATAATAAAAATATTCGGAAAAAAACTTCATTTAATAATTATTGTAAAGACAACAAGTCTTGAAATTGGAGAGTTCCTCAGCAAACCGTAATTTGCTTTTCAATCTCTTTTTTTTCACAACCGACTTAGTGTCAATGTGTCTGAGCCGATTTACGTCCATTTGGTCC